GAAACTGGCGAAATCCATACTGAAATGGTGACAAGTATTTATTTATTTCTACGTACCATCTAATTCTTTTACTGATAATTTTCTCTAATATTTTACATAGATTACATGTTAAAGATATCGGTCTATAGCTAGTTCGTGAACTTGAAATCTTTTGTGGTTTTAATATTGGAACTACTAAAGCTTCTTTCCAATTGTCCGGAAATACATGATCCTTATATATATGGTTATATAGTTGAAGTAAATATTTAAGTCCTGTCATTGGCAAATGTTTAATTAAAATATTCGGTATATTATCTGGTCCTGGGCTAGAATTACCAATTTGTGAAAGTATTAAAATTAATTCGTGCATTGATATTTCTTTATTGATTGGGTTGGAATTGTCGGATGTCTCGAGATTTGAATCGGTCTCTTGTCTAATTTTATATTCAATAAATAAATCATTATAGTTATTAGAACTAGAATTAGTTGCAAAAGATTCAGCTAAAAGGTTTGAGGTTTCAATAGGGTTAGATGTAAACATACCGTCATTTTGTTCTAGTACAATTTGGTTGAATCTAGTGTTGCGGTGATTTAGTTTCTGAATCTTGTTCCACATATCCCTAACAGGGGTTTTGTTAGTAATAGATGACACCCAATTTTCCCAATATCTTTTTTTATTTTCTTTAATAAGTCTCCTATAGTAAGCTCTCTTCTTCTTATAATTGATTTTATAAGTCGAATTGGGGTCATCTCTAGCATATCGTTTAAAGAGTTTTAGCGCCTTTTTTGTTTCTCGAATTGCAATTTTACAGTCCTCGTTCCACCATGGTAAATTATGTTTTCTTAAGATACCAGATGTTTTAGGTATTGAATTATCAGCAGCCTTAAGAATGACTTCAGTGAATTTATCAACCACCACATTAATAGAAGAATCTATAAATTGATTTACTGGTACTAATTCTGTTATATTTAGATCAAAGTATTCCCGAAACATGTTCCAATCTGCTTTATCAAACTTCCATTTCTTAGGCACTCTAATATCGTTTGATACATTAGAATTAAAATTAGATGTAATGAAAATGGGGAAATGGTCACTATCATACAAATCGTCCAGGGCGTTCCATTCAAAATATGACGTTATATTTTGTGAAGCCAAGGTAAGATCTATATTACTTGTCAGACCCGTATGGCTATTAAAACGAGTAGGTTGTCCGTTATTTAATAGAAATAAATTATCAAGTTCGTCAAGCCATTCTGCTATTAACTTACCCCTAGAATCACATTTATCTGAACCCCAATAAAAGTGATGGCTATTGAAATCGCCTAAAATTATCACAGGAGATGGAAGCTGACTAATGAGATTATTTAATTGCTGTTTATCAAGAGTACTACTATTTGGTAGGTAAACGTTACATAATGTAATAGATAGTGGGAATTTTATGTTTATTGCAACTGCTTCTAAATTTGTGATTAAAACTATTTCTTCTGGAATCGTATGAGACTTAATATAAATAGCCACTCCACCACTAGCCCTATCACCTTGCAACCGATTTTTGTAAAATTGTTTGTATCCTGTTAAAGAAGCGCATTTATTAAAAGTAAAATTTGTTTCCTGTAGACAAATGCAAGTGGGACATAATTTACTTATTAATAATTTGATATTTTCAATTCGTTTATAGTAACCATTAACATTCCATTGTAATATATCCATATTAACTAATAATAACGTATCTTTAAAATAATATGTAGTAGTAAAAAATTAAGTTAACTTTTAAATTATTGATCTATGTCCGTTGTAACAATAGGTGTGGGAGATATTAATATTTCATGTAATTTCCTTGACAGACGTGAACATCTATTTTTTTGGCTTTTGTTCATCTTACAGTGTAATTTGTTACACATTTTAATAAGGTCCTTAATGTTATCTGTATAAGAATATACTAATTCTTTTATATTTTGTTTTCCTCGTGTATTATCTAATAAGCTAATGAATTGGTCTAAATTAATAGGGAATGTATTTTCGTTGTTTAACGTGGATAATTCTTTTTCAATATTTGTCCAAATTTCTTCTTCAGTTCTAGGGTCAGACTTTTTTAGTTTCTTTTTTGTTTTTGTTTTGGTTTCCAGATCTTCCAATGATATATTACTGCCTGTTTCATCAGATTCAAATTCCATTCTGTCAGACTCCTCTTCTTGTGTGTGTTGTTTTATAATATTTATTTTTGAGGATTCAGTAGTCGTTAGTGAATGTGTTCTTTTTACTCCTTTTGGGTTCATCTGAGATGGTTGTGAGAAGCCTTGATTTACTGGGGTACATTTAGGGTCATCCTGAGGGTGGGTAACAATTAAATCATCGCATCTATCGAATATATCAATAATTTCTTTTGCTGTTTGTTTTTCCATTTCTCGGGGGTAGTCTTGAATATTTTTTATATTTTGTGGGCAATTTTTAGCTAAATGCCCCAGTGTATTACAAGTAAAACATTTTAGAGCATCAGTAGATGTATAGATCCAGTAATTAGTGCCTTCGAATGTAATTTGAAATGTTTCTGGCAGACGTGCCACATCGTCTGGGCTAATATATAATTGTCTTCTAAAACTTAAGATGTGGGAAAAGCCTGGGTCGCTAACACCTATTTTCATAAATGTTAGTGGCGACATTATTTTTATATTTAATTCTTCAAATCGTTTTTCAATTATATAATTTGGAATAACGGGACAAACATTTGATAAGACGATCCTTTTATTTCTTGTAACTAAAGATTTTATTTCAAGAATATTACTTTTGATAGTTAGCTTTTTCTTTTCTTCGACAAGGTTATCGGCGGTTTTTTTCGAGTCCATATAAATACATATTCGAGCATTCGATATTCGAGATATAAATCGTATAGACGTTGCAGGAATAATTGACGATAATGCAATGAGGTACTCCCTGAGTGTTATACCGTCAATGGAGTCCAGTACGATGGCTTGGTCTTTCTTGGGAAAACAAGTAGATGAAGTAACATTTGCATAACTTGACGTATTGGGTGTTTCTTGACACATTGTGGTTGGTTGGTACACTGGGGGATTTTGAGACGTTGAGGGTCCAAACATTATTTTATAAGGGGGCTCCTGTTGCCAGGAGTTACCCTATTAACGAAAAAAAAATCAAAACAAATATTAAGATTCACGTGTCGCGTAGTGAATATTGGATTCAATAGCGGGTCGGACGGAGTGAGTCACGCGCGTCCGCTGTGACCGCCAGCGCGGAACTGCCATTTAATCATTTATTTTGTTACAAACAGTCATTAACATAAAGCAATATAAAAATATTTTTAACATAAGACAAAACGCTCTGTCAAAAGTAGTACATTTCACAGAGCGTTAGCTTTAAATAACTTGTGAAACTGACACAAGAGAGAAAATAAAAGGTTTAAAATAAATACATACATTACGACATTACTAAGTAAAAGTTAAACAATTTACGTTTAGACATTTTTTTAACATTGTTCAAAGTCTTATTAAAAAGATTAATACAGTGGAAGTCTATAGTAGTTATACATATAAAAAAATAACGAAAAAGTTATTGCGAGTGTATTTTTTATGTAATTTAGGGGGAGCGAAGATATTTAGTGTCCGGGATGGACGGACCTTTGGAGATTAGGAATTTTGGAAATTGAAATTGGAATTTTAGAGAGAAGAAACGACGAATCTAATTTATTATTCAGAATTTTATATAGACAAATTAGATCAAACTGCTTACGACGATTTAAAAGTGAAAGAAGATGAATCTGATTAGGTGGCTTAGTGTATGATAGATCTGAATTGTAGAAGTGATAATTTAAGTTTTTAATAAATTTCCTTTAAAAAATTTCTACCTGATCAATATGTCATTTGTAATAGGGATTCTACACAAGTTTGCCCTATCTTTGCAGTGATGTTGTGCGTATTTTGCTCCCTGGGTGGGCTCTTATGACACCCACACGGGATGAAAAGGGGTGGTGACACTCCGTAAACACTGAGTAACAGACAGTATTAGCACAGAAGCATCATAAAGCTGTAGGTTTTTTTTTAATTAACCAAGAAAGGAGTATTTTATAGAGCATTACTTAAAAACCGCGCCCGGGATTATTCCAATAACCACAAGTACTACAAGTACAAGTACAACCTACAAAACAATCTATTACTTATTAGGTAGGCACAAGTAACAAATAAGTCTCTGTCACTCCAAATGCATGTTATGTATGTGTTTTTTCGAAAGACATCGAAAGACATCCTATGTAGAAAAGGAGGTACTCTGGACAACGTCTGAGCAAAAATACTTAGTATTTATCTGTCAAGGATGTGCATAGTAACATAGTATTGCATCATCGAGGTATTAATATCTGATAAAAACTTAGGTAATTCTAGCAAGTGAATTGTTTCGAGTTCAAAGTCTATATGATGACGTCAATGTAATCGCGCAAATGTTAAAAACTAAGGAATAGCAACCTCGAACAGAATAGGTTTATAAAAAGCTTTTATTTAGCTAGCTAGGTTATGATAGATTGCACGGATTGCGTAGTGGTTTAAGCGGTCGCCACATGGGACCCCACTTTGTGTGATCCACAAATTGTTGTTCTGAGTCTGGGTGTTTTGTGTCCGTTTCATGTAGGTTTGTAAAGTCCCCCTCGACACAGGATTTATACCTAGTGCGGGACTTGTATTTTTTTTAATTAAAAAGGAATTTGTAGAAAATCGTGCCCGTATCACTACCCGAGCCTTCCCCCCCTCCCCATATGTGCCGAAGCATGACTCTCCCACGGTAAAAGCAGTTGCAGGGCAAACTCTGGTACTGCTTTTTAGGATTCCGTAGCAAAAATGGCAAAAACGGAACCTTTATAGTTTCGTCATGTCTGTTCGTGAGTCCACACTATGTCTCATAGACTATTAGTGTTAGAAATCTGATATTTCGCATGAACATACATTACACTAATCACGCCGACAGAGTGGTAAAATAAAATTCTTATATATATATATATTTTCTTTCATTGTTACAGAGAGAAAGTAGAATTCAAGCAGGATGCACAAAGTGTTCAAGGCTATACTCCTGTATGGGCGGTTGGTGATAGATTTGTTAATAGATTTCTTCTTCTCGCTCTACTGGGACAATAGTAAGAAGCCAATTCCAGCACTTGACAAGAAGCATCATATCTTGACATGTAGTGCAGTTTCTCTGGCCCAGAAGATCAAGCAGAAGGAGCTCAAGTCCGAAGATTTAGTCAAAGCTGTTATTGAGAGGATCAAAGAAGTAAGTTTACCATCTGGCTAAATTTACATGTTAACAGCCATAGCAAAAATACCTGCACATGTGGAAAAAGGGTAGGGCTAGGGTTTACCAGGAAAGGGCCAGGTCGAGTTCCAGTAAGTTATTGCTTACATTACCCAATAAAAAGGTATAGGATGCTTATTAGGATGTTACTTTTAAGCAATATTCCGTTCCTACTATTATTTCCGTACCTACTTTTTTCATCACATCACATCACATCAATAGTCCTTAATAGGCACCTGCTGGACATAGGCCTCTTCTTAGAAAGGAGTTTTTGGCCTAATATACCTCGCTGGCCAGACGGGTTAGTATAGGGTTCGTTTCAAGTTTTCCTTCTCTTTGCAGTGCTGTGGTCCTGCGTAGTTTGCTCCCTTAGTCGGCTCTTAAGTCACCCACTGATTAAATACGGGAATGTTGACACTCTATATTCTTAATTCGTCACCACGCTTTTTCATATACCTCCAATTTCATCAACTACTTCTTAAACTGCCCGGTTAGCAGCAACAGGCAGGTTGGCAGAAACGATTCGGCAAAATGTGGTTATTCGATACTCCTCTGCCTACCCTTCTGGAGAGATAAGCTTAAGTGTATATGTGTAGAAAAATATTAGGCCCGCTGAACATTTCCTCAAAGCAATGGTTCAGATAATATCATCAACGGGCGATATATAAATTTAGAGATATTTTGATAACTTCTCGTACTCCTAACACTAAATTATTTCAGGTGAACCCTAAGATAAATGCTATTACAAGGGGTAGATATGAAGCTGCTCTGGATGAGGCGAAAGCGGTAGATGAACTCATTTCTAATGGACTATCCGACGAAGAGGCTGCGAAGAAACCATTTTTGGGTAAGAAAACATAATGCCTACTTTAAAATTGGCATCAACGTTTTGTTTGTTTTTTTCTTTATCTTGTCTAAACCTTAGGATCTATTCTATAGATTATTATGTATTTGCGAACCATTTCGATTTTTCTATCAACGATGTCACAGTTCGTGTTATAAAAGCTATATTTTCTTAAGACGATAACTTGGCAGAAACAATAGCGCGGTGATTTTGCATATTCGAAATAACTTTTTTCGTCCTTGAAAAGAGGTGGGAAAAAAATAGAGAAAGGATACATAGATGAATTGTTATTTAAACATGACCTGATTCACTTTTTATTTGAAAAATCTTATTTACAGGCGTACCATTTACGACAAAGGAGAGTCAAGCCGTAAAAGGACAACCATTCACCTTCGGTCTATGGTGCCGTCGCAGGGAAATAGCCACTGAAGACAGTGAAGCAGTTTCTAGGCTAAAGGAAGCTGGTGCTATACCCGTAGCTTCTACTAACTTGCCTGAGCTGCTTGTTTGGTAAGAATTCTTGATAAACTTTTCGTTTTCTTCTTTTTGATTAAAAGTGTTATAGAGGATAAGTTCTCACACTTCATTTGTTTTTGTTTCGAATTCTATTTAAAACCATACTTTGTCAGACGATTCTATTTTACTCCAGTATAGTACCTAAGATATTGATGATGTTGTGATGTTACAAATTAATTCTAACCTTATTACAAACAGACTAAGGTGCATTCTTCTGCCACAGAGTGATCTTGGTTTAATTGTGTGCTCATGTTCTAGCTTCTTATTCTCGATTGTCTATTAACAGTTTTATTAATGTTATTAAATGGTCTAATTTTGTATGCCATTAGGCAAGAGACCCGCAACCCAGTGTATGGTATGACGCGCAACCCTCACCACACAGGCAGGACACCAGGAGGCTCGAGCGGAGGGGAGGCTGCCCTGACGGCCACATGTGCTACCGTTATCAGTTTGTGTAAGTTACAATGGAATCCATGCACGTTGAACTTGATCAAGACCTGTGTATTTACATAAACTTATTTTTCCGAGTTACATGTATGTACGAGGCACACAGAGCCACTATTTAGCACGGTCCTACAGCTAGCGCCTTACCACATTCACCAGACCATTACCGGTGTTTACTAGGCTAGTTCAGTATACTGCCAATATTGTCAGTATGTGTTCGGGGTTTAATCGCACCAACTCGTCCACTAACAAGAGCCTTTTAAATTCCTTTACCTATTTGCTCTTCGCAACATGCCTAAATCATCCCTTACTCAATTCTTGTCATTTCATCTACTTTAAACTCCCCCCATTTTCTTACCTCATCAGTGAGAGAGAGAATTTTCTTGTTCAACTTCACCAGACGCATCATCTCTGAAGATATTTGTTTTGAATCTTTTAAGTAACAGCAACAACTCTTTAGATGTCTTCAGACGATGTTAATAAATTAACATTAGAAAGATTACTAAAATATTATTATCTTTGGACTCAACAATTGTTATTTTTTCGTTTATAACATGATAAACTTAATTGTGTCTTCACATTAATGAGTAATAAGAAGCGAGTGTCTCTTTGGTTTTTAGCAAAAGTTTTTATTTTTAAATTCTCTTCTAGGTTCTGACATTGGAGGGTCGACCCGTATGCCAGCATTCTACTGCGGTACCTATGGACATCACCCTACGCCCGGAACTACTCCACTCAAAGGTAACTATTAGTTTTGGAAGTTATAGTTTGTCTACTAATCATCGTTGTTCTTAGACCCTACGAATGTGAACATCTGAGTTGACGAACTTATTTAAGACTTCGGCTTGGTCAAGCGATCACTTTTAGCTTTGCATAGAAATCTTATACAATTTTTTTTTGTATGGTAACCGTAGCCAAGGTCTCTTATGTTAGCGGTTACCAATGGCTCTTAACACTCGTGAAACCAGCTGTGACACTCGCGAAACTAGTTTCGGAATCAGACTTTGGCACTTCTAAAAGAGCTTCTCTGGCTGTCGGTCCTTAATCTACCGTGGTAGGAGGTTTTAGGTGTCGCAGAAATCCTTCAGACTATCAGGTTTAAAACCATCCGGGCTAGAACTATAATATATTAAGATCCAGTGCGTCTAACAAAACGAACTGTTACCGTAATGAAATGTTGGTCTTATGTGATTCTTTTACGTAACTATTTTCTTTAATTCAGGAGTGCTCTTCCGTAAGGGTGATGAAGAGGACACAATGTTAAGTCTTGGATTCATATCTAAACATGTTGAAGATCTTGGACCCCTTACAAAGGTTATTGTTGGCGATAAGGCTTCTCTGCTCAACTTAGACAGGGATGTCAATATTAAGGTAAATAAAACACCCTTTTTTTTCCTGTGCGGAAGTCCCCTCTGGTATCACCCACCGGGGTGATTATGTCGGACTCGAACCGACCAAAAACCGCACGCCGTCTCGGGTACCAGTAGCCGGGGAAAATAAAACACCCTAAGAAAGTATGTAAATGAAGGACTGTTCTATTGTAACAGTTTTAAGGTTTATTTTTAATAGACAGGTGTCAAAATTAAGGTTTAGTAAAGGGAACTAAGAAAGTATTCAATTCAGGGGTGTTCTATTGCAGTATGCTTAAGGTCTATTTTTAACAGACAGCGATATTAAGGAAAGCGCCACTAAGAAAGTAGACAAATGAAAGAATGTTCTATTTTAACAGTTATAAGGTTTATTTTTAATAGACAGGTGGCAAAATTAAGGTAAAGGCCACTAAGAAAGTATTCAATCGAGGGCTGTTCTATTGCAGTATGCTTAAGGTCTATTTTTAACAGACAGCGATATTAAGGAAAGCGCCACTAAGAAAGTAGACAAATGAAAGACTGTTCTATTGTAAAATTTTTAAGGTTTATTTTAAACAGTCAGAGATATCAACATTAAGGTAAAGGCCACCAAGAATATAGACAAACGAAAAGCTAGAGATGGTTAAGGTCAATATTAAGGTACCGAAAGACCACTAAGAAAGTATGAAAATGAAAGTATGTTCTATTGCAATACGTTTAAGGTATATTTTTAACAAACAGAGATGTCAACATTAAGATACTTAAAGGCTACTAAGAAAGTATTCAACCGAAATGTTGTTCTATTATATTATGTTTTAAGGTCTATTGTTAACAGAAATTTTTTTCAGGACATCAATTTCTTCTATATGGAAACGAGCAAGGATATGATGCTTAGCAGCGTATGTTTTGATCTCAGGGGAGCCATGAAAAGGTGCATATTGTTTCTATTGGTTTAAATTATTTGCCCAATTACGAGTAGTTTGTGATGAAGGGTATATAAAAGTCTGATGGCAGAGTATTAAATTCTGATCTTTTTATTTATAACCTGGAAAAAAAAGGTTGGTTTAAAGGTCAACAAGAGAAAGAAAGGGACTCTCTTCTCTATCCGCTCTTGCCGCCTTTAATTAATCTATATTTTTTTAAGAAAAAGAAAATAATACTATATACAACAAACATTCCCTCTCTGTGGATCTGCTCCTAGAATTGAAGACATCCATCATGCGGACATCATTTTAAATATACTTTTCTTATGTCCAGAGTGATAACTCGTATCAGCCAAGATGCCTCTTCGACAGCCAACGCTCCGAAGCCGTACTACCATCAAGGCTTCAACCACATGTACAACCTCTGGAAGTATTGGATAAGCAAGGAGCCTGAAGACCTGGCCACCTTCTACACTAACGGGAACGGCAAGGCTAATGGACTTATGGAATTGGCGAAGAAGGTTCTTATATTTAAAGTTCTACTATTTTTCATAAAGCTTCATCAAAAAGTTTATAGAACATTCGCGTTAAGTTCGCTTTTATACGAAACAACAATTTCTAGGAACCTGATTGGTCAGGGGGCGTGGCATGATCGAGGCGTCACTATTTTCTTAACGCGAATGGACTATAGTAATAGAAGATTGTCATGAGTGCAGTTCATACAAACCTCCTTTCTAAGAAGAGGCCTATGTCCAGCAGTGGACTAGTAAAGGCTGTTGATGATGATGATACATATATTGCGATTTTAATGATTTGGCGTAGAAAGTCTTTTCAATTTTGAGTCCTTTAGATCTCAGTGTAATAAAAATGTTGAGTTAAAAATGCACTACAATTGAGATGTTGATTTACAACAAAATTGTAATGGAGCTCGACGTTTTAAAAAACGAGCGAACTTTACAGTGGTCGTATGAGATGTGTAAACAACTGACATATTATCACCGATAAGTAGTTTATTTTATTGAAGCCTATGACGGGCAACTCGCACGCACGCATTGGTTAAATCAAATGGGGTCTTCGCCGGCTTCCAGTAAAATTGTTTTTTAAATTATAATATAACATATATATATATATATATATATATATATATATAAATATATATATATATATTACACATCTCACACACGGCCGATAATAATAAGTATGTTTATCGCAGACTGCTGATAAACATACTTATATATTTTAAATAGATACATATTATAGATAAATTACACCCACAACAAATGACCGTGCTCATCACACAATATTTGTCCTGGGTTGGAATCGAACTCACGACCTCCGGTTTAGCAGTCAGGGTCACTAACCGCTAGACCAACAGGCCCGTCAAAGGGCCATTCTTTATGCACAAGTACGAGTTGTAGAAAGGCGGACTTAATGTGACAGGCGTTTTCTCCCAGTCTGCCTTAGGGTGGTGCGGAAATATGTGACTAGGTGCACTAGACATTGATGTGTTAAGTAAGAGAAAATTATTGAGAAATTAGACAGTATTGAGTATAATATCTATGTATTTACAATATATATATATATGTATTTTATCAATTGTCCAGTACCCATAATACAAGTTCTGCAGTTTGGGACTTAATTGCACGGATGGCGTAGTGGTTTAAGTGGTCGCCACGCTGCTTACTACTGCGTTGAGTGTTGTGGATCCGATCCCCATATGGGACAAAACTTTGTGTGATCCACAAATTGTAGTTCTGAGTTCGTTTGTTATTTTCTTTTATTTTATTCTTTTATTGTTCGTTATTTATTGTTCGTTTCACGTATGTTTGTAAAGTCCCCCACGACACAGGATATATAACTAATGCGGGAGTTGTCTTTTACAAAAAAAAGATGGCGTTGTGTGAATATCGAAGAATATTAAGTATATTATTATTAAGATATTCTTTACCAAACCTCTTAACTTGATAGAGCCATAAGAATTAAATCTTATTTTACATCAACAGGTGTTGGGCATGAGCAATTATTGTTTCTTCAGTATCGTCCGACTGATTGAGGAGCAGTACTTGCCGAAGGTCGACTCAGACTGGGCCGAAACCTTGACTAAAGAAATGAAAAATGATTTATTTGTAAGTAATTTTTACAAATTAGTACTCACTGTGTCTTTGTAACAAGGTTTAAAATCGATTGAAGCAAATCTGATTGTTTTTATTTTGGTATGATGAATACGAGACAAGCGTTCGACGTTTGAATTGAACCTGCCACGGTAATACCACTCTTGTCTTTGTAAAAAATCTACTATTTGTTGTTGGTTCTTGTTGTTGTTGTGTTGTGTGTTTTTATTCACTTGGTCTATTATTTCAGAATAAACTTGGCGACAACGGCGTCCTTTTACTGCCTAGTGCCCCCCATCCAGCACCTTTCCACTTCTCCTGCCTGCTGAGGCCGTACAACTTCGCCTATTGGGGTATCGTCAACGTTCTCAAGTGTCCTGCTACTCAGGTAATCACACTAATATGTATTATGAAGGCGAAAGTCTATGAGTGTGTGTTTGTTACTTCTTCGCGTTCAAACGGCTAGCCCAATTTTGATAAAATTTGGTATGAAGGTAGCTGACAGCCTAGATTAACGCATAGGCTATCCTGAAAATGATGATCAGATGTCATAAACTGCGGCGCACTGCTAGCAAAATATACGTTTGCCTCCAAGAACTGTATAAGTTATGGTAGAAAGGGAAGACCTCAATTTCTGGATTTCATAACGTAGATAGAGGCTGCGGGTTCGATTCCCACGCAGGACAAATCATTGTGTGATTAGCACGATGATTTATTTTGTGTCTGGGTGTAATTTATAAATAATATGTATGTATTTAGAAGTGTATAAGTATGTTTATCGGCAGTCTGGTTACCATAGTACAGGCTCTGTCTAGTTTTGGATCAGATGGCCATGTGTGATGTGTGAAGTTATTATTATTACCTTTTTTCTTCTTTGTCCCGTGTGTATACTATTAGATTCCCAAGAAAGACTGACAGGAGAGAAAGCAGTCATAAAATAAATCATCAAAATAATTTACAATGTCACGCATTGATCTGACGTCAAATAAAATATTCAAATGGGTGGAAACAAGGTGATGATTATTACTAATATTTTGTATTTCCCCAGGTACCCCTCGGAGTTAACGCCCAGGGTCTGCCCCTTGGCATCCAGGTAGTAGCAGCTCCACATAACGATGCCCTTTGCCTGACTGTCGCTAAGTATCTTGAGAATGAATTCCACGGATTCACCAGAGCTTGTGAACTTAAAGATTAAGAATATTTAAAGCTAAGCTTAAATTTGGGGCAACTTTTGCTTCTATTTATTTGATATCTAAATGTTACCTCTCGTAAAAAAACTTTTTGACATATAAATGTTTACGTCACTATTCATTGTCAAATTATTATTTCTAAGTAATGTTTTTAAAAACAGAAATATTAATAGTGAAAACTAAGTAAAATACTTTGATAGGCATTATTAATTATTTGGTTAGGACATATTTTTTACTGGCAACATATAATAGTTCATAACTAGAGTTTTGCGAGACTCTTTTATCATCGGCTCTACCCCTTGTTGCCCATATTAGCCATTTAATATACTTAACATATAGTCTTTGCATTGTACGTAAGAGCCCTGCCCTTAATTGTTACTACCAGGACTGGTTTTAAGGTATCAAAGTTGCCCCAGTAGACTGTAAAATTATAATAAATATTAAGTTTTAATTAAAAAGGGTGAGATTAAGTTTTAAAACTCCTAAACTCTTCGTTTTACATCAAAATTAAATAAAATGTAATAATATTTTAAGTATTTTCTGTTTCAAAAGATAATATAATGTTAAAAAAAGTCCAGTTTGCAGCAGGTGTACCATAGATACGCTTGTCCGAACATAAATCATCCCATGCTTACTACTGAAAATTAAAAAAAAAAACTACAGATTATTTTTAATCAGTACTAGGCATGGGATGACTTTATAAATCCTGTTTATATGTTCGATTTTATTTCGTTCAAACAAATTATATTTAATCGATGCGTATATGAGACTTAATTTTACCTACATTTAATTTAATGTATTATTGTATGTTTGCTTTTGTATGAGGGATTTTATTAAAAATATTTTTTTTTACTGTACTTAAGGTTGTTTTAATTTTATGTTAGTAGACACAGTTGGCAAAATTTCTTATCTTTTCAAACTGAAGAATGTTAGACTTCAGAACGAGTGCTTGTAGGGTTTGAGGAAACTGAACACACAATGGATGTATTCACTCCTAACACCAGTCGCTAAACAACTGAATAGATTAGTATCGCAGGATTAGCAATTCTCATTCAGGAGTTACTGCTTAGTTCGATGTGCCTTCGTTAGATGGCGCTGTAGTATGTTTCTGTTACTTTGTATGTTGGAGTCGCTACATAACTCCTTTCCAATATTGAAGGTCGATATCCTGATAAGTCAGCTATCCATGCTCTGTTGTGGAGCATGGCAGTGCCAGTAGTGAGTGGTTCCAGTGAATTAGAACTGAGAGCCGCTAGCCCCCGTGAGTCGGTGCTGAAATCCGCTGATCCCAGTGAGTCGGGATGGCGTGCGGTGCGCGGCGCTGCGGTGAAGTCCTTAGTGAGTCGTGGCGGTTGCTGTGCAGTGGCTGGCTGCTGTAGTGAAGTAGTAGTAGGTGTAACAGTAGACTGCAAGTGAAGAAAGTCTGACTATAGGCTCAAAAGAAAATAATTTTAACCTTGTAGGAAACCACCGTTCACATCTGAGTTCCGAGTGCGTTGATGGAGATTTCAGCGCGGGCCAATCGTAGAGCCGAACGCGGTCACTGTGACGATCGAGTAGTTGTGAAATAAACTCGCACTTGGGTCTCAAGGGCCCGCACTGAAATCTTTACCAATCGCAACGCCGGATGAGCTCGCTGTCGAGAGCAAGTTGATGTGAAATAAACTTGCACTATTATATACTCTGAGCGCCTTTATATTATTTTTTAAAAGAACTTCCGCACTAGGAATAAATCCCCTGTCGCGGGGGACTTTACAAACATACATGAAACGGACACAAAGGACACCCAGACTCAGAACAACAGTAGTAGTAAGCGGCGTGGCGATAGCTTAAACCACAACGCCATCCGTGCAAGCATCATGTTATATCGTAGGCCGCCTCTCTATGTACAACGAACCCGAATTGAGTAAACATTTAAACATAATTGTAAACAAAATGAGTAGCATAAAGGCTATATTGTTGTGAACATAGAACCTTAGCACAACTATATTATCTAAAGTAGCTGGCTGGCTCTTTCGTTTTTATACGTTTCGAAGTCCTGTCATTCCTTGTAAAAAACAAAAATCATATATAATTGTACTTCCTTTTTATGTTATTAATAAATGCAAATAATTATCTTCTAATTGCAACGTGGTGTTTAAATCGATCTATATGAAACCCCAACATATAGTATACAAATGCCTTTAGTGCTGTGCCGTCTTTGAAATTATAAATCCTTACTATTAGAAAACATTGCATTCTTCACATAACTTCAGCAATCGTTTCAACGATTCATAACATTTCATAGATATGGGTGACACTGCGCTGCGTCACGCAATTGCTAAGACTAAAGTCAGTCAGGCAATAATAAAATAATGTCACTGAAAAAACGGGTAATAACGACCGTAAAAAAGGAAAAAAAAAGTTAAGAGAACATAAAAACACAACAAGAAGAATTAAAAAAAAATACCTCAGAAGCCCACCCACACTGACGAAGAAAAGACAGAAGAATTCAACTTTGCTTTGAATTACACACACACCGCAGTACACACCGACAACCGCAAAGCGTCTTCGTTGCTATCTGGGTAAATGCTACTAACAATGATAATAAAAACAAAAACGGTTAAAGATTTTACTTCAAATAGTGAAATCTGTAGATTTGATAATAGGAGCTTAAAGATATGAATTAAAAAATGGTTAACAAAAATTAGTTTTCTGTGCAAACCGTACTTTCTAAATGACAGTTGACAGATTAAGGTCATCGACGTTCCTATTCATTTTTAGAATCGTAGTGAGAAGTTATAAATATTAAGTAAATTGAAACGCATCAAATTGACCTTGTAATGACTTTGATTTGTCACTTCTGACAGTTTTCACATGTTAATGATAAGCCTGGCGAACTTTTTGACCTTAACTTTAAAAATAATTTTTAATTGAGTAAATTTAGTATAAAACAGGGTCGTTATAGACGTCGTTATAGACTATTTTTTAAAGATAATATTAATTAATTTATAAAAAAAATGCCAGGCGTAGTTACGGTTGATACTAAGCCTTTTGAAGGACAAAAACCGGGTACGAGCGGTTTACGTAAAAAAGTGAAAGTTTTTGCCCAAGAACATTACACAGAAAACTTTATACAGAGTATTTTAAATGCAAATAAGGACTCTTTGGTTGGTTGTACCTTAGTGGTAGGTGGTGACGGCAGATATTTGGTGAAGGAGGTTGTTGACAAAATTATAAAAATTTCAGCTGCGAATGGGGTAAGTTTGTAATCTGAGTAGTTCCAAATTAAAATTTAAAACTTTTTCGAAAATCAATTAATAACAGTCCTTGATTTAAGTTTGAATGACATGCTTAAAATTACAACCAAACTTTAATTTTTATTAATTCAGAAATTGTTTTATAATTATAGGCATACAAGTTATTCTTTTAAAGCAGTATTTGTGTATAATGGTATAATGTAAATTACTTAGCTCATAGTTCTAAGTTATATTTTATCTATATGTAGTATGTAACAATATCTGATTAGCTACACTTAAACATTCATATTTAAGGTGTGTAGAATTGCATCTATGTGTGTATCTTATCTTAGTCGCTGTTACAAAATAATTAACAATAAAATGAGCTTAAAGGGATTACATATTATTACATGCTATGGAAAGGGCTATGCTCAGCGTTTTCTCTAAGGGATCACATCAGGAATAAGGTGATCCAGCCTCTGCCGGATGACGGATCCAGCCAGACCGAGTTGTCCGAGGTATTTATTGTGTTTGTGGTTGGTTCTGTGTTCTTTTAAGGTGGTATCTGGCGCCCGAGATTTTTAGTTTGTTATTGTGTTAGTATTTGTGATGCCACCAGTTAGTTTTATTTTAAGAACACCACCCACCCAATAAATATTTTTTTTATTTTTTAATATTACAATATATTAAAAATATTACAATCAGGAATAAGGTGATCCAGCCTCTGCCGGATCACCTTATTCCTGATGTCCCATGGTCTCCGAATAGCCTTACCGGATCAGCAACCTGAAGTGGCAGTGGGATGGCCATATTAGCCCCAGAACCGCCAACCGTTGGGGAAAACGAGTTCTTGAGTGGATACTGTGTATCAGCAAACATAGTGAAATGTTGTATGTGAAATGTTACACATCAAGTCTTAAAGAAATAATGTTATCTCTCATTCTAAAATTTCACACTATGAACAGTTAGTGATCTATGTGATGATGTGTGATTGTGGGTTCAATTCCAACTCTTGACAAATAATTGTGTGATGAGTATCACCATCATCAGTCTATTGTAGTCCACTGCTGGACATAGGCCTCTTGTATTGCATTGAACATTGTGATTTGTTATTGTATCATTGTGTATGTATTTGAGTACATAAGTATATTTATCTGCAGTTTGAATACTACAGGACAGACTGTCCAGTTTAAGATTAATCAGCCGTGTGTGTTGGGTATTTCAAGTTATTATTAAATATTATTTATTTGTTCAGTATTAGATATAATGTTTAATGCTATTACAATTAGCATTAAACATTATATCTAAATTAGCAACTTAAAGATGAGTAAATTTCTAAAATGTTATTTTTTTTGTAACGAACAGACCACCGGTCACCTGACGTTCTACCTTCACTCATGAACACCTGCAACTTGAGAGATACAAGTATGTTCGACATTTTAGTGCCTCACCCTCCCTGGGGTTTGGGGGTTGAGGCTCCAGTTATCTCATTTGATAATAATTGGTCCAGGCATTCTTTAGTTGTAAATGGAGTAACTAACCTGTCTTATTTTTATTAAATAAGACAACTCAGCAATCAATTATTAAACATTAGAGCAACAACCATATTTCAAAACTTATATTTATTACAGGTAGCAAGACTTCTAGTTGGTCAAAATGGTATTCTCTCTACTCCAGCTGTATCATATCTCATCAGGAAATACAAAACTCTTGGTGAGTAAAATGTGTTGTTGTTACTACAGTTAATTTCGGTTATATTGACGTTGGAAGATCCACTTTAATATCGCGCTAATAATATCCGGAAATCGCTATATCCTAAATAGCAATAATTCATGTACATATTTGACTGTTGGTATCGCATCATAATCACATCAATATTCCACTGCTGGACATAAGCCTCTCCTTAGAAAGGTTTTGGCCTACTATACCACACTAGCCAGATGGGTTGGTATAGGGTTTGTGTCAAGTTTTCCTACTCTCTGCAGTGCTGTTGTTCTGCGTAGTTTGCTCCCTTAGTCGGCTCTTACGACACCCACGGGATGAATAGGGTACTCTCGGTATACCCGTCAGTTAATTTTATTAAAACTGTTCTCAACCAAATGTAACAGTCAGTCTGGGAGACACTGGCGGCTTCTCCACAAACTCTCTCTCTCTAAATCTTTTCTTTAACATTACTGTTAAAGAAAAGATTGAAGAAGACAAGATGTACGTCTAGGAGTCGTCACAAGTTTGCGAAACACTGTTCACACACTGGTAATACTATGCAACTGATTTGGTATAGAGCTTCATCATTTCCAAAGATAGAAACTCGAAATAAGAAATAATCAAGCAGGCAATAGCTAGTTAAGCATGATAAAGAAAATAGAGTAAAAAAAAATAGTGTCCAACTGTTGGCCACTAAGTTTTTTTTTATGTCATAAGGGGCAAACGAGCAGGCGGGTCACCTGATGGAAAGCGACTATCGCCGCCCATGAACGCCTGCAACAGGAGTCACAAGCGCGTTGCCAGCCTTTGAGGAAGGAGTACGGTCTTTTCTTAAAGGTTTGAAGGTCGTATCGGTCCGGAAATATTAAAATGAATTGTAAAGTCCCCTACACACACATAGGATATATTCCTAGTGCGGAAGTTGTCTTAAAAAAAAGGAAAAACGTGGAAAACCTCAGTTTTAGGATATTGCATATTAGGTATTATTAGTACATTATTTTTGTTGTCATTGTCTTTTATCTTATCATTATCATTGGCACATATATAAAACGAATGGATTAATCATGATAGTCATTTATTGACATCTATTATTTATCTTAATTTGATATGACACATTTACTTATAAGTACTTATAAGCCATGTTGTGTGGTGACGGATAAAGTTTACGGATTCCCCCCTTCTTCCCGTGGGTGTCGTAAGAGCCGACTAAGGGAGCAAACTACGCAGGACAACAGCACTGCAAAGAGAATGAAAACTTGAAACAAACCCTATACCAACACGTCTGGCCAGCGTGGTATAGTAGGCCAAAACCTCCTTTCTAAAGAGAGCCCTACGTCCAGCAGTGGACTGTTATAGACTGTTGATGATGATGATGATGTTGTTTGTATGTTACCATATAGCAACTTAATTTAACAGATAAAATGTACTTGCAACTAAGGCTTCCGCCTACCGGCTTCGGTCAATAACGTCGGTCGAACGTACCGTCAGTGGCGTTTGATTCAGGAACGTCCCGCAATGCGAAACCAATCGCTATACTTTCATAATTACGACTGCGAAGTTAGCAAACGCTTTTCTGTCCGCCTGCACCATACACAAGCGCGTACGTCCAACCGATCAGTGGGCCTAGTATGAGTTTATTTCTCATTAAATCGTTCTCGATGGCGAGCTCGTTTGTCGTTGCGATTGGTGAAGATTTCAGAGCGGGCCAATCGCAAAGCCAAATGCGGTCACCGTTACTACTAGGCCCTCAGATGGCGTTGCGATTGGCCCATACTGAACTATTCACCAATTCACAAGATCATAATGTGATCAGAGGGCCTGGTGTAAGTTTATTTTACTTCTACTCGATCGTTACGGTGACCGGCGCTCGCCGTTGATTGGCCCAGTTTCTTCTTTTTTTTAAATTTCTCCCCAAACGCAACGCTGAACTTGCTCGCTGAAGAGACCGAGTTAATGTGAAATATACTCACACTTGGGCCTCAGGTGCGTCAAGTTGCACCAGGGACTTCCTTTCTAGGGTATACCTGGTTCCCACGCTATTAGTACCCGAGATGGCGTGCGGTTTTAGTCGGTTCGAGTCCTACATTTCACCGATAGGTGGTATCCGAGGGGATTTCCGCACGGAAAAAAAGGTGCGTCAAGTTAAAAAAAACATTGTTGTGCAACAATAAATCATTTTACAGGAGGTATCATCCTCTCAGCATCCCACAACCCTGGTGGCATAGACAACGACTTCGGTATCAAGTTCAACTGTGCCAATGGAGGCCCGGCCCCTGACGCCACCACTAATCAAATATATGACATCACTACAACGATAAAACAGTACAAGGTTGTACCCGAGATTAATTGCGATATAAGCAAGATTGGAGTATCCAATTTTGATGTAAGTACATCTATACTTAATTATCTAAACTAATATTATAAAGATAAAGAATTTGTTTGTTTGGTTCAATGTGCTAATCTGTGGAATTACGGGTTCGAATTCAAAAATTATTTTAGAGTTGGATAGCCCATTTACAGGCTAAATACCATCACGCTATGATTAATACAAGTGTGCTTTAGACCACACGACTGAAGTAAAACTTCTTGGCTATGACATAAAGAGAGAGAAAATGTGAGCTCGCACCTTTCTCTCTTGCCCCTACAGTAATATACGAACTATAACTCTCTCCCTTTCTATCTTCACTAACTTATAGCTCCCTCTAAACTTGCGTTCGCCTCGCTCGATCACACTTTTCGTAACGCCCTCGTCACGCATTCACCAGCTTACTACCCAAGTCAAGCGTGCTTTACTTGTTTACTTCAAAAACTTTTAGAGGGTCGCAGAGCAAGTTGCACGTGTCAGCTAGTCTATGATAAGTAAATAATTTATGTCGAGTCATGTATGTTAATAAAAAACACGGTTTGTTTTTCATATGTATTGCTTCGAAATTATCTCGGCTACAGTACTAGAAACATCTATATCTATAAAAGAAATAACTGACAGATTAATTCATTGACTGATCGACCAACGCACAGGACACCCAAATTTTGCACAAATGTTCCTTAGGTGCACTAAGGAAGGATTTAAAAAAAATTGGGGTTGGAAATTTATGTAAAACCAAGTTATTATTGGGTCTTAGTGTATCCTCTACGCTGTTTGATGTCGACCACCGCGCGGACGACGTTGGTGGCTAATTTATATAGAAATATTAGTGTATACGCTATAAAAACTTAAAAAAAATCTCCACTCATTGGACTCCAATTTTGACATGATATGCAATCTCTGAGGCTAGTCCTAGCGTAATAATAATAATAAGTGGTTTTATAAATTAGTCACAGGTATGATTACGCTTTAAAAATCATATGATTTGTCGTAGGTGATTGCTATTTTATTTCATCCCTGAGGAGGACCATGCTTCGGCAAGGGACCGGCTCGACCGGACTGATATTATGACTAACAGAAATGATCCGGTGTTAGGCAATTCTTCCGTTAATATTCAGAGTTAGAGTAACAGAGTTTCATCCACCCCTAACTCTGGGGAGGGAGGGGAGGATAGGAACTCCGAGAGCGGCGTTAGATACTCACCATCAGATGACCCGGATATTTTTAGGTAAACGGCAGCAAGTTCACCGTGGAGGTGATCGATTCTGTGAATGACTATGTGGCGTATATGAAGGAGATTTTCGACTTCAGGCAGATCAAGGCTCTCATCCAAGGCACTCCTCAGAGGAAGCCTTTCAACGTTCTTATTGACGCCATGAGCGGAGGTGAGTTTCAATATAATATAACTTTTTAATTTGATTGTTTATTGTATTACTGATGTTTCAAAGTGTACGGTAACAAGGCCTACTCTTTTGCTGTCCACTGCTGTAATAAGGCCTCCTCCAACGAGCGCCATCCATCCCGGTCTTGGGCAGTCCACATCCATCCGCTGCCAGCCATTTTCCTCAAGTCGTCGGTCCATCGTGAGGCAGGGCCTACACTACGTTTGCCTAATCGCGATTTCCACTCTAGCACATGTTGGCTCCAGCGACCATCAGTCCGCCTGGAGACATGACCGGTCCATTTTCACTTCAGCGTACTGCTTCTCTTTGCGATATCGGTTACTCCAGTTCTTTGTCGAATTGTTTTAATGAGACCTACTGAATAACTTAAGCTCTGCTTAGTTTGGGACTAGATGGCGTTGTGTGAATGTGGTAGAAAATTATTATTATATTATTTAGAAGGTAATTTTAAGTGTCTGTTCTGACATATAAGTACCTATTGTTGTTAGTATTGTTAGTAACTAATATTTGACTTTAAGTTTGAATAGAAAGAAACATTTTATTTGTTTACTTTTGAAGATCAGGAGACTATAATGTTATTGAGGAGATAGATATTTTAAAGGAACTGACATTATTGAAAGCATGATTTTTTTGCGTTTTTTTTCTCTTGTATAGCTGCAGGTTTATAAGAAGATTCTTAAAATGTTACCTTGGAAATGCCCCTTAACAAAAAAACTATGACGAACGTTCGTTTAATTAACAAACTTTAATTACCAACATAGAAACAATTTGTTTGTGTAGCTGATCAGTTTTTTTATGTGTTTTTACGTCTAGGACTCATGACGTAAAAAGAAATAAAACAAAACCAATCTTTAAACGTAATGAACGGGCTATGACGTCACAATCCTATACATTTTATAAGTTTACAAATTCGTTTTATTGCTTCAGTAACTGGGCCGTACGTGAAGCGGATATTCATTGACGAGTTGGGCGCGAAGGAGAGTAACGTTCGTCGTATCGTCCCACTGGAAGACTTTGGGGGCGCCCATCCGGATCCAAACCTTACGTATGCTGCTGACCTTGTAAACGCTGTGAAGGGTGGAGATTATGATCTAGGAGCAGCTTTCGATGGAGATGGTGAGGACTCTCTTCAGTTACATTTAATATGGTATATTTTTTGTTTTTATTAAAACAGATTTAAGTTTTTTTACGCATAGCGGTTGTACCCTGTATCATCATCATCATCAACAGCCTCTAACAGTCCACTGTTGGACATAGGCCTCTCCTTAGAAAGGAGGTTTTGTTACTACTATACCACGTTGGCCAGACGGGTTGGTATAGGGTTTGTTTCAAGTTTTCCTTCTCTTTGCAATGCTGTTGTCCTGCGTAGTTTGCTCCCTTAGTCGGCTCTTGCGACACCCACGGGATGAAAGGGGTGGTGACACTCCGTATTCTTAATTCGTCTCCACACGGACAACACAAGTGTAGTGGGTCCGATCCCCACAAGAGACGTATCCTGCATACAATACTATAATTAGATAAGAAAAAAAAAAAGTATTTATGTAAAGCGTATCTTTGGAATTTTGGTTGGAAACCGATTTCAATAATTTTTTTTAAAATTAAATTGATTATACTCTCGGTTCGTTTAATTTAAATTTGAAGTAAACATTCTACTTTTAAGGTTGTAAAAATATGGTATGAAAAAAAAAAACAGCTCGATACAACTTATCATGAATTAGGTGATTTGAGGTCGTTTTTTATTCAAATTGTTAACAAACACTTGTTTTTATGTATATTTTATCTCTCTCGAATAGTCGTTAAATACATAAAAAAATTACGCTCGCATAAACAGGCTTGTTTATTAGCCAAAGCATAGATCATGCATTTATTGCGTGCGTGCAGCCAGCGGCAACAAAAGCTCGTTAATTTGTTTTGTTCTGACCTTGTCTGTTAATTTTGTTTTATTATTTGTACTACTACTATATACATCTTGATCAGATGATTTAAGCTACGTCCTAAGCGTTTCGGCACTTTTTCTGGTGACTATAAAACAGTGATGAAGTACCTGAAATCACATTCTACCGTAGCTCAATCCTTCCCTCATCGTGATTTTGAGGGGTTTTTTTACTCTACTTGAGTTGCAAGTGTGTAGATAGCGGTGGTCACTTACCATCTGGGCCTCAATTCTGCTATTTTATGTTGATGCCAAGCCACTGTCAATCCATTGACACGCTATTGAGATGCCACTGAGACGCCATTGTCATCGGTCAAAATATCAGTATTCTACTAACATAAATTCAGTGTCAATAGACTGTCGATATAGTAATATAGATCATAAATGGTGATAATAACAACATTGCCATACCTGGCCAATTAAATAAATCATTTTCTTACAAATTTTAAATGTACTGTTTACCAAATTGCTACAAAGACATCGAGCCAGGTTTAGGCCCAGGTTACCTGTCTGCTCGTTTGTCTTCTATACCATAAAAAAATGAACATAAACACACATCATCATCACATCAACAGACTTTAATAGTCCACTGCTGGACATTGGACCTTTCTTAGAAAGGAGGTTTAACATCATCACTGAGTTACTAAAGTTGCTTTCCTACCACAGGTGATCGGAACATGATAATCGGTCGCAACGCGTTCTTCGTAACACCATCAGACTCTCTGGCAGTTCTAGCGAACAATCTGCACCACATACCTTACTTCCAGCGCTCTGGAGTACAAGGGTATGCCCGGAGTATGCCCACTGCTGCGGCTGTGGACAGGGTCGCAGCCGCCACGGGTAAAGAGATGTTCGAAGTACCCACAGGTTAGTTCTCATGCCATGTTGTTGTTTTTTTTAACTAAATATTTTCAGTATGTCAGTCAAAATCAAGCCAAAGTCAATATAATAAATTTTATTTTCAAAATAAGTATATGAGATATCTATTTATTTGTCATAAAACGGGGTGTTGGTTTAGTGGTTAGCGATCTTGTCTACTAAGCCAGAGGTTGTGGACTCGATTCCCAACCAGAATAATAAGTATGTATTTCGAAATATTAAAGTATGTTTACTTAGAAATGTATGTACCTGGTTGACTGTTGAATTAGAGTCGACAAGATATGGGTGTTTAATTCGCTTCTGCCTGTCGTTTCGGATCTTGTTCCAAGCTTTTGTACGAAACGAAAATTTCCTGGAATCTGATTGGCCAGGGGGCGGGGTTTAATAGTTACGTCACTATTTTCTTAACGCAAATGGACTAAAGTAAAAAATATATGCGTATTTTGTTTCAGGCTGGAAATACTTCGGTAACCTAATGGACGCTGGTCGTTTGTCTCTGTGTGGAGAAGAGAGCTTCGGCACGGGATCGGACCACGTGCGAGAGAAGGACGGCATGTGGGCCGCTCTCGCCTGGCTCTCGGTGATCGCTGCGACGTCACAGTCCGTTGAAGACATTCTGAAGTCGCATTGGGCTCAGTTCGGACGGAACTATTTTACAAGGTACGGTTTTACATCTAAATATGTAAAACTAGCTGACCCGCGCAACTTCGTCTGCGTCTCTCAATAGTAATAAATTTTCTCCGTTTTTAAAACATTCTTCATTGGTGCTCCGCTCCTATTGCTCTTAGCGTGATGATAGCCTATAGCCTTCCTCGAAAAATGGGCTATCTAACACTGAAATAATTTTTCAAATCGGACCAGTAGTTCCTGAGATTAGCGCGTTCAAACAAACAAACAAACTCTTCAGCTTTATAATATTAGTATAGATAGCTGACCCGCGCAACTTCGTCTGCGTCGCTTAATAGTAATAAATTTTCTCCGTTTTTGAAACATTCTTCATTGGTTCTCCGCTCCTATTGGTCTTAGCGTGATGATATATAGCCTATAGCCTTCCTCGATAAATGGGCTATCTAACACTGAAAGAATTTTTCAAATCAGACCAGTGGTTCCTGAAATTAGCGCGTTCAAACAAACAAACAAACAAACAAACTCTTCAGCTTTATAATATTAGTATAGATTACTTGAATTGACTGACTGATTCGTCAACGCTGGGGTTAAAAACTTAACATTTTGTCAGCTGATGTTTTTTAAGTTGTAGGCACCAACTAAGAAAGGATTTTGGATATTCCACCCCTAAGGAGGTAAAATAAGGGACGAAGGGTTGTATGGATATTCGTCATTGTTAAAGTTAGAAACACGAAATAACAGATAATCATCAACGCTAAGCCATAGGCAATAGCTAGATTTACAAAAAAGTTGTGATTTTTAGAGCACGGACAAATGTGAAATTTGAAAATATTAAAATTTTATACGTAGGAAATCTATGGTTCAGCACTGACCTATGTCCGGAGTAATATCACGGTCTCACAGATAATGACCCATTTTTTATGGTGCAGGGGCCGCCAAACGAACAGATGGATCACATGATGGAGAATGAGTACCGTCGTCTATGGACACATGCGAGAGACAAGAGAGTCTCAGAGCCGCCCTCTGGGTGCCCCTCTATGAGTTACCTCTTATGAATGAATCTCTATGAGTGAACCCCTATGAGTGATCCCCATGTGTGACCCCCCCCATGAGAGACCCCCTATGAGTACCCCCTTTGAATGACCCCTCTATAAGTACCCCCCTCTGAGTACCCCCCTAGAATTAGTGAAAAAGGGGAGAGAAGTTGGGTTAACTGTAACTTTATTTAACATTATTATTAGGTACGATTATGAAGAATGCGCCAGCAACCCATGCAATGAGATGATGCAGTGCCTTGAGAAGACCATCACGTCACCAGGCTTCGTGGGCTCGTCGCACAGCAGCGGCGACAAGACCTACGTGGTCAAGTTGGCTGACAACTTCTCTTATATGGACCCCATCGATCAGAGTGTTGCGATGAAACAGGTACAGTTTTATATGTACAGGGTGTTACAGAAAGATGTAAGTCTGGTGATTAGGGACCCTGTACAAATATTGTGTGATGAGCACGATCAATAATATTCTGTATCTGGGTATAAGTAATAACAAAATATCATGAGTTTATATGCATATTACTATATTATGTACTATTGTGTCCAATATTAAGTGAATATGGGTGAATCATGGTTATGTGAGAGAGCGCTTCTCGCCTTCAAACGTAAAAGTTTGGCGAGTTTAGAATTAAGTAACCTAGGTACTATAATTTAATTATCAGAATAAAAAAAATAAAAAAATAATTCTGTAATATGTATGTATTTAGAAATATATAAGTATGTTTATCAGTGGTCTGGTTGCCATAGTACAGGTTTTGCCTATTTTTGGATCAGATGGGCGTGTATTGGCACTTTTTTTTAATGTTAGAGGGGGCAGACGAGCAGACGAGTCACCTAATGGAAAGTAACTATCGCCGCCCATGAACGTCTGCAACTCAGGAGTCACAAACGCGTAGCCGGCCTTTTAGGAAGGAGTACGCTCTTTTTTTGAAGGTTTGAAGGTGGTATCGGTTCAAAAATACCGCAGACCATAACTTGTTCCACAGATTGGTTGTGCGACGCAAAAAGTGTCTTGAAAAGCGTACAGTGGTGGACTGCTAATTATTATTATAATTTAAACTTATTGCCTTACTCAACCAATCTGTGGAACAAAAACCAGTACCAGCTTCTCCCTCTGGACCGCATGCAACGAAGATCGACTCGTGTCGTCGATAGTCCAAAGATCTCCGATCGGCTCGATTCCTTGGCGTTACGTAGAGTTGTAGCTACACTTTGCATTCTCTATCGTATATATTATATCATGGAGAGTGCTCCGAGGAATCCGAGGAATCGGCAAAATTTCCATCCCCACCACTTGGATAATTAGCAGTCCACCACTGTACGCTTTTCAAGACACTTTTTGCTTCGCACAACCAATCTGTGGAACAAGTTATCATCTGCGGTATTTCCGGACCGATACGAACTTCAAACCTAGTATGCTCTTTTCTTTAAGAGCATACTCCTTCCTAAAAGGCCGGCAACGCGTTTGTGACTCCTGAGTTGCAGACGTTCATGAGCGGCGATGGTCACTTTCCATCAGGTGATCCGTATGTTCATTTGGCCCCTTTACCGTAAAATGTAGTCAACTTTTAATTTTTTTTTACAATCATGAATAAAATTAAAAAATTTATGCGTGGCGTTGGAAGAAGACAACATAGACTCAAAGAATAACACTAGATACAAAACTAGAAGATAGAATATAGACTAGATAGCAATTTGATGATATGGCAATGACAGCCTCGATGGTGCGAATGCGTCGGCTGTGCTGAGGTCTCGGATTCGATTCCCAGGTCGGACCAAATATTTGTATGATCTGCAAATATTTGTTGAAAAGTTTGGGTGTTTTCTATGTATAATATGTTTATATTTACAAAAAAAAGTATATAAGTAGTCTATCAGTCAATCTAGCTGTCATAATACAAGCTCTGCTTAGTTTGAAACTAGATGGCGTTGTGTGTCAAATGTCCTATAAAAATATTAATATAGCACAATGCTTATCAATGAGTGTCTCCACTGAGTCCAGATGTCCAGAATAATTTTAAAACATATTTATGTTTATTTAAATGTTAAAGAGTAATTCTATAGTTCTTTAGTTCTGTAAAGGTTGTTTTTGTTTACAATACGCTGTAATGCTTATTAAAATTGTTGTTATTACAGGGTCTGCGCATAATCTTCGAAGATGGCTCTCGAATTGTATTAAGACTGAGCGGTACTGGCAGTTCAGGGGCCACCGTCCGGTAAGTACAACATTCAATATCTGTTAAAGAAACACTATAGTCCAAAAAAAAAGAAAATAGAAAATAGTGGTGGTTTGTTAGAGGGTGCTGAAGCTACTTCAGAGTCACAAGTACACTTTGAGCCCCTCCTCTGGTAATAGTGGGAGGACGAGAGGTGGGGTTCCGAAACGAAAGAATTGCTTAAAGTCGGTTTTCTATGAACTCTGGTAACATTCACGGATGGCGTAGTGGTTTAAGCGATCGCCACGCCGCTTTCTACTACTGTTGTGGGTTCGATCCTCACATGAAACGACACTTTGTGTAATCCACAAATTGTTGTTGGGTCTTTCTCGGTGTTCGTTGTGTCCCTTTCATGTATGTTTAAATTCCCCGCGATATATTATATATTTCTATTGCAAGAATTGTCTTTGTTTTTTTTTTAATATAGGTTGGCTCAGTTGTCCTGAAGCCATGTATGAGGTGTGTCACATTTAATTGTTTTATTTCTTCATTTATTCCAGGTTATACATAGACTCGTACGAAGCGGAAAACGTTTTGGGTGACGCACAAGTTATGTTGAAGCCACTTATCGACGTGGCGTTAAAAATCTCACAACTACAGAAGTACACGAGACGGGAAGCGCCCACCGTCATCACATAAACACTACATATATATTTTTATATGTATTCATATGGTAGATGCAGGTTTTAATCGTTGAATAAAATATATATTTCATAATAATTTTAAAACACTAAAGAAAATTGAGAGACTTAAAATAAAAAAATAAAACTTTTAAAAGCGACTTAAACTATGGTGAGACATTTAAAGTCTATGTTGAATATAAATATCTATGTTAAATTGTTTAGAGAATAAATTATAGAAATCTGTTTATAGCCATTTCAACTTTTTAATTGAGAGTTTAAAAATACAATACATAGGGGAGAGTAACCAATATTGAACCGGCGCTTAAATTGGACCACTTCTGTATTTCTACCAAAATGGCACTATTTTTTATAGTATATTGGCACAAAACGGAGCGCTACAAAATGGCGGAGTATAAGTGGTGCTGCTAGCGCTCCTTTATGTGTTGCTAGTGTAAAAAAATTGTGCCATTTTGGTAGTAATACAGAAGTGGTCCTTTTTAAGCGCTGCTTCAATTTTGGTTACTCTCTCCTACATTAAACTCAGAAAAAATAATGTTTTGCTGCAGCGTGGTTAAATTTTCTATATGCCTTCACGCTCTGAACAGCCTAGGTTTTTGTGTAAATATTTATATTAAATCCCCAAACCCTTTTTTTAATGATAAAATAAATTCTTTAGTTCTTTGCAATATTCATTAATTTTATTATAATAAATTCACGGTTGTGACCTACCATTTATCATTTGATCTTTTTTCAAATTAGTTGTTAAAATTTTGTTAAATTTTTTTTCCTCTTTGTAGAGTTGCAATATATTTTAAAATTGTTTTTTTTTTAAATGGAAAAATGTTAAGTTTGAATTTAAAAGTTATTGTTTTATAAAAGACATTAAGAAACGTGTGATGGGCGTAAATAACAAAATTACATAATTAGACCAGTTTCACTGCGCGTTATGTATGAAGCGAGAAGTACGCGACTTGTTCTATTTGTGGGCTAGTTCAGTGGACAGGCGCGCACGGGCCGGGAGCACATGTGGTCTCACATTAATTCCATACAAAGTTCCGAGCCGCGCCGCCTCGTACAATAGTTATTACTTAACGGTAGCAAAGACAAAAAAACAATCGTATTCTGCTGTTCAAATAATAACTAGGTTTTCACACTTCTTGAGGACCTTGAAACATATAGAAATGCAGTCCTAACGGAGAAGAGATAGGGTCACGCGATAGAAAGAGACAAAGATTCAAGGTCTATATATCTATGAGTAACAACTGCACGACCTGAATTCCACCTTATTGTGATGGAGCGAGAGTCGATATTTATTTAAATGATTTAGCGTAGTGGGACTTTTGTACTCGTAATATATAATACTATTGTTAGTTCAATGGAAGCTATTTGACTTATTATCCTGAATATATTTACACCGGTGTTTATCGACTTCGATTTTTTATTCTCTTGAGTTTGTATGTACTTACGTAATTTTTACAATAGAAACATGAACTATACAATCAAAAACGAGTTATTTCTGTACTATCATCATGTTGGTATCAGCGCAATGTGGAACATTGCAAAAAAAATCTTGGCTGGTTGTTTTGTGAAACGTATAGGGCGAAGCTATGGCAAGGTACCGAAGGTCGCGGATGAGTTATAGATAGGTCTGTCTCTGCAGCAGCTGGAACAGGTCTGTCTGACGTCGGTCTTATTTTCTTTTTTTATGTTAGAGGCAGACGAGCAGACTGGGTCACCTGATGGAAAGTGACCATCGCCGCCCATGAACGTCTGCAGCTCAGGAGTCACAAACGCGTTGCCGGCCTTTTAGGAAGGAGTATGTTTGAAAACACCAGTAGTTGTTATTATCCAAAAAAAAAATTATACGTTTTCGCATCTTCCAAAATGCGTAATCATTCACTACACAGTATTTTGTTTAAAAATGGATTTAAGTTCTATTGTGCTTTAAAAATTACTAAATAGCGTCCAGAATCACTAATAAATTGAGGCTTACAGATTTTTTTGGTTTTTATGCTCGAAAATTATAAAAAAAAAGTTGACTGACTGGTTTCAAACTTTAGTAGCAAGCCTGACGCACACACGTGAATAAAACAATATATTTTCAATAAATATGAATACCAATTTATTTTAATATGTCACAAAACTGCCAAAGATATGTGAATTTATTACTTGTACATATAGTAATTGCTTATACATTGTAATTTTTTGTTTAATAAACGATTACACAACTGTTTTTTTTTTAATTTCAGTTTATTTATTAACATAACTTTACCTTAACGCTAATTATGACTAGATTTTGATTTAGTTATATACATTTTCATCTTATAACTATTTCTTTGCAGTTTATTTATTAAATGTTTTTTTTTCGAGAAAGAACCACAAAGCCACACAAAAAAAACAACGTCAACATAGTCTACGGTTAACCATAAAACTGTGCAAAACTATATTTACTGTGATAGAAACGTTTCTTTCTTTAATATTGGTTAAGAACCTTGCCTATTTCGGTAATCGGTATTTATTACCATGAATATGACCGTTTTTTTAAATAATATTCTACCACATTCACACAACGCCATCTAGTCCCAAACTAAGCAGAACTTGTACTATGGGTACTAGACAACTGATATAAATACACATATAATTTATTGTTTTGTAAATAAATATATATATACATAGAAACACCCAGACCAAATCGAACATTAAATGTTTATGCACACAAATGTTTAACATGAGCGGGAGTCGAACCCGTTACCTTTGTAACAACAGTCCATTACACAAACCACTACGCCATCCGGTCATCATTATATATACTATTATATATACATTACATATACCGGTATAGGTACTTGTTCAATTATTGTTTAATAGTATTAATACTATCATTTAGTGTTGCTAGCGCAATAAAAACTCGATTATTACTGTCACACAAAAAGAAGTGATTTTAGTAATAAATGCCGATATTCTACTAATTCGATATCACATACCACCTACTCTTCCTTTTTCCATAAATATCATCACATTGAAGTAAATAGTAGTTCGTATTGAACAAGTTTCTTTGTCATAGCAACATATGCACACAAAGGCTAATTGTCAACCTTAGTACACTAGGATTTTTCAAACGTGAGGCCAAATGCCACGTTGTCGTCAATATTTGTTCAGCATCTATTCGCTGATGAAGAATTGCATCAAGAGATTCAGTGCTCCGAAGAGTACGATGGCGCCGTAGAACAGCGTTTTGCAGAACGTGAGACGGCCGCGGAGTTGCAGCGAACGCACTTGCAGCAGAGCAGGCAGTGCAAACACGTGCACTAATCCGCTAACCGCTCCTGTGTACCTGACAGACACAACATATATTACTTAATTTACATTTATTTCACTAAAGATAAACATTCCTATAGACATTCATTGACTACACGGATGGCGTAGTGGTTTAAGCGGTCGCCACGCCGCTTACTATTACGCTAAGTGCTGTGGGTCCGATCCCCACATGGGACTACACTTTGTGTCGACAAATTGTTGTTCTGAGTCTGGGTGTTCTTTGTGTCCGTTTCATGTATGTTTGTAAAGTCCTCCGCGACACAGGATATACTTATTCCTAATGAAAAATCCAGTCATTTTTTAATACGCTTTTATTAGCTTCAGTTATAACTAACAGTGAAAAATCCAAATTGAAAAAAATTGCTACTGAAATTCTTGCTGATCAATGTTGACATTTTTGGAACGAAGTTCCTTATCGCGCGTTGTGAAAGGGGGCTAGACGGAAAAAATTCTTACGAAAATTGGTCACGACACTTTTTGCTATAGTAAGCTATTGTAAGCTGTGCGGCGTCGCATGTTTCTCTGTCTGTCTCTCTCTCTCTTATAGAAAGCAAGCCAGATATTTTCATTTCTATCTTTTTATGTCAGTCATTCAGCGCCATCTATCGAATAGATAGGAAATCATTTCTCAAGGAGATTTTACCAATGTATAAATTGTTTTAATTAGAAACCAACTGAAAAATATGTAGGTAATAGCCGCTTTCATAGATGGCGTTGTAATTAAAATGTGCCGAATCAGTTTTACTCGATCGTTACAACTTCGTTCCTATCGGGTGTCCCACGACACCACACGGCTTTTTTAATTAACTATCAATCTTATGTGTATAGTACCCGTCCGTTACCTTTTCTACTCCAGCGTTTTAGATATGTAAGTTCTAAATTACATGTAAAGACTGCAATGTATAACTGTTTTTTGTCCCAATTCAATTAAATAAAAAAATAAATCTCGCAAGTTAATTTTAACTACTTTAACTACTTGTAATAAGAGAAAACTTAGTAGTTTGGATGATTATATAATTATTTAGCATCTTAGAGCTGAGCTGATGATGCAGCAGGTAGAACTTATTTTTACTTTAGTTTTATAGACAATAACTACGTGAAAAAGTTAACTTATTAAGAACAGAACTGTCGTCAACACACTTGTTTTTATATTTTTCACTAAACAGGCCGAAAAAAATAGTTATCGTCAGTTCAAGGTTTAGTTATTTGAAAATAAATCTTTAATCTATAGCAATGCATTTTAAAGTTTAACATTTAGCAAAAGCGTGTCAGTATGTTTTTATGAAGAGACAAGAAAAAACCACCCCCACAACACGTATAGGCCCCCGGTGGTAATGTGTGAATCGTTTGTCACTCTCAATTTTATTCTGTCACTTTAACGACGTGATTAATATAATAATGATAGATATATATAAGAATACAGAGTGAGTGTCGTAAAAGGCGACTAAGGGAGCAAACTATGCAGGACAACAGCACCGCAGAGATAAGGAATACTTGACACAAACCCTTTATTTTTTTTTATTTTTTTTTAACGTGTGGAAATCCCCTCGGACCGTCACCCCACCGGGGTTTGCGGCGGGGTGGTGTGTCGGACTCGGACCGACTAAAACCACACGGTGTGCCACTCTGCGCCTGTAACAGGAGGTAACCTTTTCCTCTCTTTAGGCGTCTCTCTTCCGACGTCCGGCACACGCGGACGCCGCCCCCTCGCGGCTGGCCAAACTAATGCGGGTGGAGGGGAAACCCACCCCGTCCACCCGCGGCCACACTCAGGGCGGAATGAGGCGGTGATAGGCGCGCCTCCGCCGCCCGGTTCGCCGGCTGCGGATCGGGTCCGAGTGGAGGTCGTCCTCCCGGGCCTTCTCCGCCGCCTCCTTCTGCGAGATTACTTCCTCGCAGAAGGTTGCGACCGCGGTAAAACAACTGTCGCTACCGGCCATGGAGCGTACTACGGCCGGTAGCGAGAGATCCACTCCGATGACTGCAGTGAGGGCCCGACGCTGCGCCGCCCATGCGGGGCAGACCGCCAGCGTGTGCTGGGCCGAGTCCTCACTGCAGTCGCAGTGGTGGCAGGCGGGACTCAGTTCCCTCCTAGCGACCGAGTGCAGGTACTTTCCGAAGCAACCGTGCCCGGAAAGCACCTGCGTCAGCCGGAAGGAAAGGGTCCCGTGCTGCCGCCCTGCCCACTCGGCGATGACCGGCTGGAGAGCCTCCACGGCGGCGAAGCCAGCGCGTGGAGTCTCCAGCCGGAACGACCAACGAGCCATCGTGGCTCGGCGAGCGGCTTCGCGCCACTCGCGCACATCCTCGGGCGGAGGGCGAAACTTCGGTGAGCACTTCCGCCTCCAAATCCCACGGGGGAGTTCCGGCCAACGCGCACGCCACCTCCGTCAACACGGTGCGGTAACCGCGTATGGCTCTGACCGCCATTACCCTCTGAGGGCGCCAGAGGCGTGCCCTATTCTGGGCGGTCAGAGCCGCCGCCCACACCGGTGCACCGTATAGTGCCATTGACCGGACAACCCCCGTGTACAGCCGTCATGTCGCGACGCTGGGTCCACCCAAATTGGGCAAAAGTCGCCCCAGGGCAGACGCAGCGCCGACCAGCTTTGGAGCAAGCTGTCGGAAGTGCTCGTCGAAGAGCCACCTCCCGTCGAGGATCAGGCCCAGATATTTCATCTGGGCCCGAACCGGTACGAGGACCGAGTTGACCACGATTGAGGCGCGAGGGGGTGGACCACGACGGGGCCCATGAAATAACAGGGCCTCTGTCTTATCTAGGGCCACCCGTAAGCCCAGCGCCTCAATGCGCCCGACTACCAGGGAGACTCCCCTTGTGGCCAGGCGCGCCGCCTCTTGGAAGTTTGCCCCCCGGGCTGTCACCAGGGTATCGTCTGCGTAACAGATTACACCCAGCCCGCGGGGGAAATCGGCGCGAAGGGCCCAGTCGTACCCTATGTTCCACAAGAGGGGTCCAAGAACAGACCCCTGTGGAACACCGCACGACATGGGCCGACACCTCAAATTACCATCTCGGTCCTCGTACACGACGGTACGCTCCTCTAAATAGTCTGCCACTAGCCGCCTCAGGTACTTTGGCACCCCATGATAGTGGAGTGCTTCCCTGATGCAGCTGAATGGCAGACTATTGAATGCGTTGGCGATGTCCAATGACACCGCCAACAGCACGCCGCCACAGCTCACAGCCTCTTCGGTCACGGCCCTCAGGCGCAAAATAGCGTCGACTGTCGAACGCCCCGCCCGAAAACCAAATTGGGCGTCCGACAGATCGGGGCCCACCTCGTAGAGGTGCCGGACGATGCGGGCAGAGAGAACCCTCTCAAACAATTTACCCGCCTCGTCCAGCAGCACGATGGGCCTGTAGGCCGCGACCGAATCGGCAGGCCGTCCCGGCTTCCTTAATAGGACCAGCTTCCCGCTCTTCCAGAACTCAGGGAAACGTCCCGACGCCAAGCTGGCGTCGAACACTTCCCCGAGGCGGTCTGCCATGTGGTTGAGGGCTAGGGCCAGCACTCGGGCCGGTACCCCGTCTGGCCCAGGGGCGGTGTTCTTGGAACGGATCCGTAGAACAGCCGCCCCTACCTCCGAATCCCGGACGGGCGGAACATCATCTTCCTCGTGCTCCCCGCCGTCTCCGGCCAAGGAGGCCATCGCCGGGGGAGTGTGTGCCGCTCGTTGCGGGAAAAGGTCCTCAACCACTTGACACAAACCCTATACCAACCCGTCTGGCAAGCGTGGCATAGTAGGCCAAATTCTCCTTTCTAAGGAGAGGCTTATGTCCAGCAGTGGACTATTGATAGCTGTTGATGATGTTGATGATGAAATATATATAATAAGTATACTTATGTAAAATTTCGAAGTCTCGAAACTTAGCTAGTCTAAGAAAACAATTCTTACCTAATAATAGTTCCGATGTTAGGACAGAAACAGGCGAAGAGCACACACATAGCCATGATGCTGACGTTGATGCCCACTGTAAGCACCTTCGTCTCCTTGATGGCCATTAGCAGAATCGCCTCAGAGCGCAACATGAACGCGACCAGAGGATATACTGTTACTACCTGTGAAATAACATCCGTTATATAAAGTATGTACAAGTACCAGGTAACAACCTAAGTTTACAAATCTTCAAAATACTTAAACAATATACAGATTGATAATATTAGGATGGGAAAAGCGTTCTAAATTATTATTATACAATACGTTTTCTACTATTTTATCTCGAGACGAAGTGTATTGTCTAGATTGAAGTGTTGACCTTGTAAAACATTCCGGGCAGAAAATTTAGCAACTCGTTCCTCGACGTTGTTGCTAAATTTTCTGTTGTTGTTGTTGTTCGTTGTTGCTATCATTCAGCTACAGCCTGAGAAGTCCCTGATTTTAACCATAGGTAATAAAATGAAGCTATAAAAGAACCTTAGGATTTTAAGAGACATGGTTACACAACCCTCCGTAACTAGGTTTATAGAATCTTTATTCTCATAAGAACAATTTCATCATCACATCAACAGCCTTTAATAGTCCACTGCTGGACATAGGCCTCTCCTTAGAAAGAAGGTTTTGGCCTACTATACCACGCTGGCCAGACGGGTTGTTATAGGGTTTGTGTTAAGTTTTGCAGTGCTGGTGTCCTGCGTTGTTTTGCGCCCTTAGTCGGCTCTTACGACACCCACGGGATGAATTGGGATAGTGACATTCCGTATTCTTAATCCGTCACCACACGGACAAAGAAAGAACAATTTACAGTTCACTTAATATGAGATAAACAAATAAATATAACTTAGTGTCATCTCGTGAGGAGGTATGGATACACTAATTATAACAAATAAATACAACAAAAAGGTGAGATAATCATAAACAATATAATCAAATGCCAAAACTACTTAATTTTAAATAGAACAAATAAATACATAGAATATATAATAACATAGAATAAATAACTCGTTAACCCTACTTAAACTAAAAGAAAAGAAAGGCTCTCCAGGACTGGACTGGACTGGATTTTGGAGGCCGCGTGATGGCTGCCAGAAACGACCATATACGAATAGTGATAGGGTAATTTTGGGAAATAATTACTAGATTGTTACAATTGATGGATAAGGTGAGATCCAAATAGAATAGTGGGTAAGTTTCATAATGAAGGGAATACCTACTCGTACTCCCTTCAAAAGTGTTGAATAAATGTTTTTTTGTTTGCGCCTATTTTGTAAAAAAAAATCAGAGAAAAAATACAAAAAAGTAATTTGAATATCAAATTACAGAAAAAATTATCATGCGATTAAATAACATGGGAGCTACGTGTGCAGTTTGGTAGAAGTATTAAATAACTTTAATGTTTTTATATCCTAAATAAACTCAAAATCCTAAAAAAAACCTAAATTATTATTATTACTACTAATACGACTGTGTGAGTGTGGTTTCGGTACCTAAGTAATAATAATAATATTCTACCACATTTACACAACGCCATCTAGTCCCAAACTAAGCAGAGCTTGTACTATGGGTACTGGACAACTGATATAAATACACATATAATTTATTGTTTTGTAAATACATACATATTATACATAGAAACACCCAGACCAAATCAAACATCAAATGTTAATGCACACAAATGTTTGACTTGAGCGGGAATCGAACCCGCGACCTTTGGAATAGCAGTCCGTTACACAAACCACTACGCCATCCGGTCGTCAAAAATACGAAAAGTAAGTTAATACTTACTTAAAATAAAGTTAAGTTATTAAGTTTATACTTACTTGAAATAACAATAGTATTCTAGCAACCGCAGTCATAGCATCGTGTTTTTCGAAGTTGTTTAGTATATTCTGAAAAAAAAAACTTGTTATTAAACAACAAAGTGGATGTTTACATTAAAAACACTTTTACAAGTAACACGTTACTTTTATTCAAGTGGACGTATTTAACTGAAATAGGTAGAAACTGTTTGACCGACTTTAAAAAAACAGGAGGTCAATTCGGTTAAATGTTTTTGAAGTGAAAACTTCTTTAGCGGCGTTGTACACTTTTTTTGTAATGGGTAAAAAATGTTAAACTCGCGTCAGGACACGTGACCGATCGAAAATTCGTAAGACGGATGGAGAGTAGACAGCCGGCGCGGCGTAGGAGAGGAAGTATCCCCCTCTCTTTCTACGGCGCGGCGAAAATGTATGCCTGCGTCTGCTGTTTCGTTTAGGCGGCGCAGGGCGCTTGCGCGAATGTTCGTGTGTGTTTATGTTACAGCGTGTCACGCGCATCCATGGATGGTGACAGCGTCTCGATAAATTGTCATGTTTGTGTACGATAGCGCAATAAATAAATATTGTATTCTACCACATAAAAGATAGTACTTTTATACTGATAACTAGCTGACCCGGCAAACGTTGCTTTGCCTAAAAAAAAAATTTAGGGATGGGTTACCCTTACCATTTAGGGGTATGAAAAATAGATGTTGGCCGATTCTCAGACCTACCCGATGTGCACACAAAATTTCATGAGAATCGGTCAAGCCGTTTCGGATGAGTACGGGAACGAACATTGTGACACGAGAATTTTACATATAAGATTAAAGCATTTCGTGAAAAATTATTCGCTAACAATTACAAAATATCAAAAATGCACAACGTTAATATTCAAGTTTTCACTTCTGCCGGCACTCACGGAGTGCAACCCGTCGTTTTTTTAAGTGGGTATGTCACCTCAGAGCACCCGACATGTATGAACTGATTTGAAAAACTCTTTCTTTTTTGAAAAGATCTTCCTCCTAAACTAGGTTGAGGTCGGCTTTAAGTCTACTATGATACGGCTGAACTTCGATTTTTTACACGGAGCGACTTTTATCAGACCTCCACAACCCAAGTGCTAGGCGATATCGAAGTTCTGTAGAAAGACTGTTCTTTGACTTTTGCTTTGAACTTTTGATTTCCACAGATGTTCGTGTGGCAACAGGGACCGACGGCTTAACGCGTTCTCCGAGACACGGAGGGGTTTCGATGTGTTAAGAAAGGCCACCCATCCAAAGACTGACCTGGCTAGGATTCCTTAACTTTGCCATGTGTTATAACCTACTCGGTTATTACTTATCCAGGAGCCCTATAATTTTTTTCTACACCGTATATCTCTACTTCAAGTATATCATAATGATAATTTTTAACTTTTCTGAATATTTACTTATATGCTTGGTACTATGTAATTATTCCAAATACTTACATCTTCTATGCAGGACTTTGCCAATGGAAAGCAAATATAAAACACAGCTCCCACTAGTGTGTATGTTATTGTAACTAGCAAAAATGCTATCGTCAGATCTCTGCCCTGGAAATAAAAGTTATTTTAAATATAAAAATAAATAATAATAATTTGGGAAATATTATACAGGGCCGTCCGGATCAAAATAGGAACAGTTTGAATTATATATAAGTTATCACGGACACGGATAGATATTATTAGATGAATATTTATATAATTGTAAGTACTAAGTGTGTCCAGCGCAGGTTTGGAACTACGCGAAATTCTAAGATATAAAGGTAGGTTCTTGAATGTTGTCTAAACAAATTAAAGGGTATTCCTGTATGACAGATAGGTAGGCATAAAATAAAAAGTAAAGCAAATAGCTGTAGAGTTTTGTCGTTTATGTACGCTAGGTCTTATACATGGTCAGTGTAACTGTGGTCCTTCGAGCCGGATCATAATATCGTGCAGTGCTTTGATGCTATTGAAATGTTTGTCTTAAAAGACTTTAACTGAAGTAATTTGTATTTCTTTAAAACTGAATTAAAACGCCAAACTTACATTTTTTTCTTGTCTCGCATTGTTGCTCATTATTGTGATGATAATATTGTGTATGTAGAAAGATAGTGCGAGCATACCACTAAGCACTGCTGCATTTTTCAAGGGCCGTGTTTCAGCGAAGATAGTGTTGATATTAATTCCCCATGCGTAGCCTTTTACTATTACGAAGATCAGTAAGTACATTACCGACAAAGTGCCTAAAAAAATGAGAACGGAATTCCAATAAATTTTTATGTATGTATATGTATTTAGGTTCATAAATACTGATACATAAAAACAAACACGTACGCCTCATTACCGTCCAGGGTAGGCAGAGACAATAGAACGCCATTTGCCATGATTCTGCCGTACAGATAGCACTTCTTCCACATTCATACGCCTTTTATAAAGCTTGGCTGTTACTAATTTGAACTATTTTCCATTAATAGCAAAATAAATATTAAAAAAACAATATGGACATCCAAAGAAGGATAAAAGTAGGAATGTAAGATATGCTAATGAGCTTAGGGAAATCTGATGAGGTTATTATTTCATTTGATGATAAAATAAATGTTGTCATACGCATCCCGCAGCGAAAAAGAAACGTCAGTGAAACTAATTGGTTTGCTGGCGTTAATATAGACTTTTTCACAGCGAAAGCTACCATATGTTTTTTTCTGTGCCCTTGAAATTGCGTATGTAAAATTGTATGAACTTCAATTAAGTAGTTAAAGCTCGAATTAGCAAAGAATCCACATGGCTCATAGTAGCATTTAGAATGTTAATCAGAATATCGACTTAGAATAATCTCTAACTGATCTGGAATAAATTGTATTTCTTACCGAAAGAGTTGAACTTGGTGAAGAATGAAACATTCTTGAAGTTGAGGAGGGGGAAGACGATGAGTGCGACGTACATAGGGACGGTGGAATGCAGCCCCCAGTAGGATGAGTCTGCCTCTGGTTTGGCTATCATAAGGGACTCGTTCAGATGACGTGGACAGAGCAAATTTGTGCTGTATTCTGTTATGTTTGAAGAAGAGTTCATATCTGTAAGAGAGGTACGAGTAAGGATATAAGATCATTTAGTAGATTTTTTTACAGTCTGATGTTAAACCATATGTTTTAAATGAAAAAGTACAAGAAATGTTTTCAAATTTATTAAAAAAAAGGCGTGAGTGGTCTATGGACCCCGCCGGAGCAAAGTACCGCAAGAAGTGTCGAAAAAAAAAACGTTATTAAGTGATGGGTGAGCTGTAAGCTGTCTTTTGACTTGTGCTTCTTTATGGCGAACTGTCATTTTTTTGGCGGGAAATTGAAAAGAAACTTTATTTTTATGAGGTTTTTTCCACAATTAATACAATATTTTGAAAAGAAATTAATAATATCGTACTGAAAAGAATATTGCCGATATGAAATTACTGTGTTGTGTTAAGTAAAACCCTAGATATAAAGTAAAAGCAGTTTAGAAGCTGGTTAAGACCTCATCCAGTGCAATACCGACACAATAATTAATATCTTTTTGTAGTAGTTATAATTAAAAAAACAAGATTACGTAATTATTTTATAAAAAATACACAAATATTATGCTTATGTAGATGACTCATTGCCTGTTTACCGTCTTTGTAGTTATTTGTTTAATTTCCAACCAATTGGCTGATTGACATTGTAGTGTAACTTGTAAGTTTTATTAATAATTTTATTACCTATCTTATATATTTATAAATGTTAAGTTGGTTTGTGTTTTTTAACACGTGATACAACTCGCTTCAAAGATGTTTTTTTTTTCTATTTTTACAACTACAGTTTGCCACAACGACACGTGGGAGGGTACAGCTAGTTGTAAATATATTAAATCTTACCAACGAAATAATTGACGGTGAAGTAGAGGAAGTTCGTGATGAGAATCCAGTAGACAACGTTGGCGCCCACCAGCACCAGGAGACTGAACATATGGGCTAATACTTCCGCCCAAGGACCGAGCAGTGTTCGGCAAAGTGCAGGTACTTCACAGTTGTCACTACCTGGTACCAAGGAGATAAGAGTGTTATGAGCTACATTATATACTGCATTATATACCTGTACCTGAGAAGGAAGCGGATACATACGAATATAAATAGTGTTTAGAATAAATTGAAGAATATATCATTATTAGCCTACCGCTGTCCACTGCTAAACGAAGACCTCCGTCAAGGAGCGCCAACTATCCCGGTCTTGGGTAGTCCACACCCATAAAACAAAGAATACAAACTCAAGAAAAATAGCTAAATATGTATACAGGGTTACTGGTTAAGTCGACCTAGATACTTTAAGGGGCTGTAGTGGATGCACCAGGGATTTCCTTTCTAGGGTACACCTGGTTCCCCGACTATTGGTACCTGAGACGGCGTGCGGTTTTAGGCGGTTCGAGTCCGACATTGCCACCAATAAGTGGTATCCGAGGGGATTTCCGCACAGACAAAAAAGGGGGGCAGTAGTGGAAATGATTACTAATAAATTTTACTACCAAGAAATCTAACCATTTTACAGATTTTGGGTAGTGTCCTATGATTTAATAGTCCTGGTGAAATAGGAATACAAAAACTGATAGAGCCACGAGCCACAGTCGTCGCATAGGATGAGTCACATTTAACATCTAGCACTCCACGCGCTTATTGGTAAAATGAAAAAAGTGCGTTTTCCTTCTTTTACCTGATATAAACTACCATCCTCTTTAATGAAATCGCTTCCACAGATTTTAGGAAACCAACAGTTGCCCAAAAGATTTGTTTATTATATTTTTTAATTGCCAAACCGAATATCCAAAATAAAGTTAGGTATGACGTCATAACTCATTATTTTATACAAATTACTATAGAAACCCCTTCTGTACCTTAATAAAGAAAACTGATTTGAAATTGAAAGTAAACTGTCAGAAGTTTGTTTGCGAACTTCATAACAATATTGCAAAAGAATTGCAAAACAATATTATGATATATTATATGGATTAATGGGGCAGTTGCATCATCTTTGGCAATAACTGATCGCTGATAAAAACATTAAACAACAACTATTATAAATTTGGAAGAGGGTGTAGTTGGATACCTATCGGAATATAAAAAGATATGTCTGACATATTCTACTTTTTGTCTTTGTGTAAAGATGCGTCTGGATATTTACTTCGTTACAAATATAAACAGATAAAAAGCTACGTCAGGACCGAAGCTAGTTAAGCTTCTTCAAAAACTAAACATGAGTTCAAAAAATAAACCGTTTACAAACGAAATAACTCCTCCCTTACCATACATTAATTTACAGAGGAGATAAATACATAACGTTTCGACTATTGGGAATGGTTTTAGTTTCATTATGCATTGTTCAACAATTAGACTATCAAAACTTTGAACTCGAAATTCGAAGCTCGAAACTTGTAAATCGAGACTCAACACTCGAAACTTGCAACTAAGTTCTAAATTCAAAACGGATTACTCAAAGTTCAATATTAAAAAATAAAAATTTAAGTCTCATATAAGCTAGGCCTAGGCCTAGGCTAAACTTACCATGATGTTTGTTGACCTTAAGTAGTACATAGGCCGTGTACAGACACAGAGCTGCCATGAACGCCACCAGGATCAATGCAGCGGGTAATCCTGCTCTCTCCACGCCCCATGCCATCGTGAGGAGTGATGACCCCATTATCGTGTTCCATACTGAGAAACTGGACATCAAAATAAGGTAAGAATTTACCTCAACTTGCTTAAAAAAAATTATGCATGCACGTTTGATAAATTGAAAGATATTAAGATTCCACTACCATCAACGGATCGTGGACATCTTTTCTGACGTGACCATTGCACTTCTGAAACCTGTACTTCATCCATTGTATCCCATTATTCATTCTTATGGTCAATACTTCACTATGGGCTCATAGCTGGCAGATATAACTGACACAAAACCTCAACCTAGAAAATTATTTCAAAAGCCAATTTATTCACGCTTTTCCTTTTCCTCTTATAAGAAAGATCACAGCGGAGAAATACAACGTGTCAGGTACGCCGTAGGCTTGTTTTCCATCGACGTGGTATAAAATAAATCGAGTACCCAAAAATAGAACTAATGCGACTGTTGTTCTCTTAGAAATACCAATCAGATGTTTTTCTGACAATATTGACTGTTGTTGTCGTACGTTAGTTAAATTAAGCGTATTCTTTTATAATTTAATAGAACTTATCTCAAAATGTGTTTACGATTTCGGGGTCATTGAATAATCACCTTAATCTATAATTATTGATGTGTCTATGTTTACCCCAAAGATAATTTACACACACATCAACAGCCTAAAATAGTCAACTGCTGGACATAGGCCTCTCCTTAGAAAGAAGGTTTTGGCCTACTATACCACGCTGACCAGACGGGTTGGTATAGGGTTTGTGTCTAGTTTTCCTTCTCTTTGCAGTGCTAAAGACCTGCTTTGTTTGCTCCCTTATTCGACTCTTACGACACCCACAGGATGAATAGGGGTGGTGACACTCCGTATTCTTAATCCGTCACCACACGGACAAGATAATTTACAATTATAAGTATTTTTTACAGTTGGTGACTCGTTTTACATTTTTGTATGCAAAGTTTACCATAGAAACAGTAACCATGGCAAAGTTTACCATAGAAACAGTAACCACGGCAAAGTTTACCATAGAAACAGTAATCACGGCAAAGTTTACCATAGAAACAGTAACCATTGCAAAGTTTACCATAGAAAGAAAGAAAGAAAGAAAAATCGTTTATTTTGGCAATAATACATTTTGAACAATTGCAACTTGGATTACCAACGATGCCAAAAACGGACCCAATTCAGCCTTATGTCAGATGGAAGCCTGACGCTGGTTTTCAATTGGGCCCAAAATGATGCTATGCGATACCCTGTTGCATGTAGTACACATAACACATGTAGTACACATTGTATACATACATCACAACATTAATAACATATAACAATAATATATAACATATAACAAGACAAATTACAGATATGCAGATCACAATAAAAATACACTACGATATACACAATATCCAACAACGTTAATCTATAAATATCCAGTCTCCAAAGCGTGCACGCCCTCATCCCCGACTCTGACAGCGCTCACGTTAAATCAGGGAAGAGTTCACAATGGCCATATCCAGTCTCCGCTGTGCGTCTATGAGATACCGCCGCAATCTATATTTAAAAGTGCCAATCGTATTTGACGATCTTATAGGCGGCGGTAAATTGTTCCATATCTTTGAGGCCGCATAGCGGAAACTACCTTTAAAAGCGGCCGTTTTATGCGGTAATATAGAGAGTTGCCGTGAGCACTGTCTCACCGTACAATCACGTCTATTGGACACCCATTCCAATTTACGAAACAGGTAAGTTGGTTCGCGGTGCGTAACAATGCCAAACATTAGTGATGCTAAGTGAAGCTTGCGCCTAGACTTCATTTTGAGGACATAGTTGTCATTTAGGAACGGAGTGATGTGAGTTCTTGGTGGTATCCTGAAACAAAAACGGGTGCAAGCATTTTGGAGCCTCTGAATCAACCTATCCGTGCGAGCTAGAAGCCGTGGCCCATACACCGTATCGGCGTAGTTTAATTTTGATAGGACCAGCGACTCAACCAGCCGCATTCGCAGGCTCTCGGACAGAAACGGTCGTATCTTGTACAAAATGCGCAACCTATAGAAACAGTTTCGAACTAATTCAGCAACGTGCTTTTCGAACCTTAAATTACAATCGATAAGCAGGCCAAGATTACGGGCCTCATTCACCCTCTCAATTGATTGTCCCATAAGGGTTATGTTAAAACTGGGAAGTGAGTTTAGATTTATTTTAGTGCCGAACATCATGTATTTTGTCTTATTTGGATTGAGAACCAATGAATTTCTTTCCGCCCACTGCACGATTCTATTCAGATCATCATTTAAGTCAGATATAGCTTTATCGTAATCACTTAACTTAAACGAAATATAAACTTGAATGTCATCAGCATATATATGATATCGTGAATTAATCAAACATTTTGTTATATCGGCGCAGTAAATACTAAAGAGAATAGGTCCTAATATTGATCCCTGAGGAACCCCTCTTGTAACAGGGGTGAGTTCAGAAACCACTGAAGCCCCACCATCAAGATGCTGTTCCACACCCTGACATCGACCTGACAGATAGCTATGGAACCATTTAACTGCATTACTGTCGAACCCGTAGTATTTAAGCTTTGACATCAACAAAGAAGTGTTAATGCTATCGAAAGCCCGGGAAAAATCCAATAAGACAAGCAATGTACACATGCCCTGGTCTTGTGCTAATAAGATATTATCAGTCACATCAAGCAAGGCAGTAGCGGTCCCTCGACCCTTTCTAAATCCGGACTGAACCTCCGGTAAAACGTCGTATTTCTCTAAATACTCAGACAACTGAGCGCAAACTACCTTTTCTATAACTTTTGACAAACACGGCAGTATACTTATAGGCCTTAAGTCTTTTACATCAACCGGGCTAGTAGTTTTAGGCAGCGGCCTGACAGTAGCGATTTTCCAGATATCGGGAAAGGTTGCCGTCTTTATGGAGGTATTCACCAAATGTGTGATAGCGGGCAATGTATACGGCAGAGACAACATCAACATCTCCAAATTGATACCGTCACGACCCTCTGCATTTGATTTAAGGGCTGAGAGATGTTTCGAAATGACCTGTTGGCTAACAGCTGAAAGAACGAAGGTGCCCTCTCCATGACTATGGAATTCAAAGAACGTCATTGTTGATAGGCTCACTGATGGCTCATAGAAACAGTAACCATGGCAAAGTTTACCATAGGAACAGTAACCATGGAAAAATTTACCATAGAAACAGTAACTATGGAAAAATTTACCATAGAAGCAGTAACTATAGACAAATTTACCATAGAAACAGTAACCACGGTAAAGTTTACCTTAGAAACAGTAACCACGGTAAAGTTTACCATAGAAACAATAACCACGGCAAAAAGTTTACCATAGAAACAGTAACCACAGAAAAGTTCACCGAAATGACAAAGTATACCGAGTTTTCTAAATCAGTTTATAAAGTAATGGAGTTCTGAGGTAACAAACATAAAAAAAAAATGTATTGAGAACTCTTTTAAATTCACTTGTAAATAAAATGAATGAGGCATACTTACATAGTTATAAGTGAGCTTTGTTTAGGTCTTTCTTGTTTTAATGATTTCTCTAATTTGGTGTACGTGGACAGGATACCGCTTGCTGTTAATTCTCCTGGACCCTTTGGACAATATAATACATGTTAAACCTTTATAAACAACCCGACTAGGTACCATATTTGTTGTCTTGAATCGACGAATCGAATTAAAATTTAAAAGGACGTGATGAATTCTTTAAATGCAGACGACCAATCAGTTATGTAAATGGATACGTTCAACACAAGGGTCACGAGTGCGTTACGTACGCTCTTTCCATGAAGATGTAGTAATAACTGACTGGCCTGTTGGTCTAGTGGTTAGAGACCCTGACTGCTAAGCCAGAGGTTGTGGGATCGATTCCCACCCGGGACAAATAAATGGGGGATGAGCACGGTCATTTGTTCTGTGTCTGGGTGTGTGAATATAATATGTATGTATTTAGATATATATAAGTATGTTTATCAGCAGTCTGGTTACCATAGTACAGGCTCTGCCTAGTTTGGGATCAGGTGGCCGTGTGTGAAATGTATGTAAATATTATTATACTAATATTTATTCAGATACACCGCCATGAAGATCCAACCCGGCAGACGAAACCAACACCTCAGCACGTCAGTCGCATTACCTACGTTTAAAAACCTAACCTACAACTTTACTATCATTTCTTATACTATCAAAGCGTAGTAGAAATCGTTATCGTGTCGTCATCTGTTTTTAAACTAATTATGCTATCATACAAGCAAAATTATAACAACAGGCCAGACGGTCACAGGCCCCTTAAGGTTGGACATTTATCAGCAAAATTCGTAAGTTTACATTCTTGTCAAATAATCACCACATGTGCGACAACGTGATAAGGTCACTTAAGAACATTTATACATTATCTACATGTTTCCGCGTTAGTGACAGAATATTCTATAATGTTTTTAATGTAATCATATTTAAAAATAAATATTACAAACATAATTAAGACTTGCAATAGATCACTTTCTCGCCATTTACGAATTATTGACCTCAAATAAACTTATAGTTATCATATGATAGGCTGGACTTTTCGTGTGGTGACTTATAACTACGTATGACAACAGCACTGCTAAGAGAAGGAAAACTTGAAACCCACTCTATGCCAACCCGTCTCTTGGTATAGTAGGCCAAAGACTCCTTTCTGAGGAGAGGCCTATGGCCAGCAGTGGACTACTTAAGGCTGTTGATGATCTTGAATCTGGCCCTAATTAAAACTATGGTAAGGGAACTCTAAGTGCCTCGTATGGCGTTTTGTGTCATATGCTTGCAATGCGCTAAAAGCACAAAGATTGTGGCCGTTTTTATATTTCCCAGTTCACATCTTGTTGGTATAGTTTTTTTCGCAGCCTCAAATGCCTTATTAAACCCAGTCTTAAAATCTATATGCCCCCAACAATAGGGAATATGCATGATTTTTTTTTATTTTTTTTAACGATTCTACTAGTTATTACATTACCAAAAATAAATATAACACATCCGAAATATAAACCGTTAAGCAAAAAATTTTTTATTAAAATCACTATCATTTTGGGGCAATTTGAACACGTCCATTTTGGCGCGCTTTTTTTGTGACGTCAGATTCCACTTTCAGACGAATTCGATGTCAACAACGGAGTGAAGTTCACAAAGTTTGTGAAAGTTAAAAAAGTGAGTGATAAAAATTAACTTATTACCATGGAAAAGCCAATAAAAACTTATTATAAATATTGTGCCGTTCCTTTGTGCCCAAATAATATCAAAACTGCACCTGACAAAGTGCAATTTTAAATATTCAGTCATTGTGTTGAGTCTTTCTACACGGGAATTTAATAATTTAACACTGAAAACGTATTAGTTATTAACTTAAAATGAAACAAATAATCACCAGAAACCAAATATTACAAATACACACAACTTGTTGACACTCTTGACAGTGTAGGTTGACGTCACGTTTTATTCAACCAATAGCGTTGCGTTTTAGAAATTTGCGAGGGAATCTTAAAAAAGCCAATTTTTGATGATTAAATTTCACTATTAAATTATAATAAATTTCAAAAATAATTGTATGGGTATCTTTTTTTAGCAACAAAAATTACAAATAAAAATATTTTGTCCATTTCGGTGTCACGTGCATATTCCCTATTAGGATTTGGGCCTCCTTACCGGAGGCACTCACTCGATAAAAAGTAACGAACGAAATGCTATATTTAATTTTGGACAATAAAATTTAATTACTTATATCAAATAAGTCGAGGCGAGTGTATCGTAATTAATGTGCCTCAGAATCTAAATTTAGAATAATCTCAGTAATATATTAGTTAGGTTATATATTATGGAGATAATTCTTGCGATGTAGGTTACAATTAAATCATTTTAGTCAAGGATACTACGATTGATAAATCATCCGGTCGAGATACCTCGGTTAGATTTTATTGTGCCATTTAGAAAGTGATTTTTGATTAATTTACTAAAGATTTAGTATTTTATCACCCACAAAGATTTCGAATGATAGAAATATAGCTGAACATGGCATGTATAAACTTTGGGTCATCCGTGCGGAGCCCGATTAAGCATACGGAGTGTCACCACCCCTATTCATCTCGTGGGTGTCGTAAGAGATACGCCGGACAACAGCACTGCTAAGAGAAGGAAAACTTCAAACAAATCCTATAATAAACCATCAGGCTAGCGTGGTATGGTACGCCAATACCTCTTGTCTAAGGAGAGGCATATGGCCAGGAGTAGACTACAAAAGAGACACTGTCTCGGTGGTGTAGTGGTAGCGTATGGACTGCTGTGCTGAGGTCTCGATTCCCGGGTCGAAACTAATGTTTGTATGATCTGTAGATATTTATTTCGGAGTTTGGGTGTTTTCTTTGTAAATGTGTATGTATTTAGAAAAAAAAGTATTTAAGTATTCTATCAGTCAATTTAATTTTCATAGTACAAGCTCTGCTTAGTTTGAAACTAAATTTCGTTGTGTGTCAGATGTTCTAAAAAAACAATATTATTATTATTACTAAAATTTTAGTAAATATTACGAATTACCTGCAATTATAATAAACTATTACTAGATAAATTGAAACCAATAACGTTGAATGGTTTTATAACAATATAATCTGTAAACATTTCAGTGAAGAAACAAGTATTTACAATTCAAACACATGGCAACGTATACTTAGGTAGTATATTTATTTATCGCATGAAATCTGACCGGGTATTAGGTTTGCCGTGTGTACAAAGTTATAATCTGATACGACACTTAAAATTAGGTTAAAATTCTTTCCCAAGATTTATTGATGAGTGGTGACGCACAGACATTTTATTAATTTGATCATCAGAAAATCTTTCACTAGAAATTCCAACACACTCCACAACTTTTACTGATACATCTTTTACAGTACAAGCAGCACGCCTATGGAATTCCTTACCGGAAGCTATAAGGCGGGCACGGTCAGTGAGTACTTTTAAGAGACTCGTCAAGGATCACTATTTATCTTTGTAAGAAGTATGTGTTATATATGTAGGTATGTAATGTATGTATATGTATGTATATATGTATGTGTATATTTATATGAATGTACGTATGTGTATGAATATGTGTTTATGTAAATCTATATTAGGGGCACCACAGACTAGCCACAGGTAGGCGAGTGGTTAAGCCATTGGACTGCACTGAGTTGGGAGTGAGTTCGGTTTCCACTTAGAACTTAGCTTTCTCCCCTGGGATAGGGCCTGATTAGGCATGGTGTCAATTCGGGGAGGACCTGAAATAACATGGTCCGGGTCCTCCCCAGAGTAGGACACCTAAGGCCGGCCGTCGGGGTGGTTTTTAGTGGCATCACCACATACTCCTGGCTCCTGAGTCCCCGAGGAGCAGGAGATCCGAAGGGATTTTCCACCCCGTCAACAAAGAAAAAAGGCGCACCACAGACTACATATACAGTATCTAAAGGTTGCCTGTAAGAGATCGCAGACTGCGATAAGGCCGCCCATTGTACCACTTGTTTTTTTTTATTTTATGTTTATATATTGCATTGTATGTTTACTATCCATGGTGTGCAATAAAGAGTACCTATCTACATTTATTATTATTTCTTTCTGCCTATGTCCAGAAGTGGACTAATAAAGACTGTTAATGATGATTTTGACAAAGATTTATTCTTATTTAAGTTTCTTTTTCTGCTCAGAAAATCGGTTCAAACTTTATACATTTCAGGATAGACGTAGTCATATTTTACAAAAATAAAAAATAATTTACTTCACTGTGTCAAATATGGCTTGATAAATAAGAAAAACAAATATTCCTTGGTTTTCTAATACGCCTTTGAGACCTTTAAACCTACCAGCCTTTTTACCTAGTGCCCAAAACTCGCTATAGACACAACAGATTCTTACACAGTTTAACTAAGTACCTATTGCATAAATTAAACGCGAAGTGAATTATTTGCTAGCATTTAAAAAAAACGACAACTGGAGATTGTAAAAACTGAAATACTTAATCTTCATATGTACGTAGAAGAAGTGTAGAAAGCCAAAAATACTAGTCAAAATTTAAATTTGTATTAAAATTTGTGTACGAGTTAAAATTTAAATTTGTGTTAAAATTTGTGTAAAAAGAGTTTCAACGTCCAACGCAATTGTTTGTGTTAGGAGTGGGTTCACGTCGGTAGTGTACTGGTCAGGATTCGAACCCACGACCTCTTGATCGCAAGTCCAATGCCTCAACCACTAGGCTACCGCCGCTTTTATTGATGATAATAAATCTAGTAAATTGAAAGTTCAAGTTAGTCAATAAATTACGCTCGAAATTCGACCACCAGTCGATCTTTATTTAACATCAACGGGTCATCAAAGCATTATTATTAAAAACAATCTCGAAATTTTTATCATGTCAGTAATTATTATAGATGTTAATTACATGTATAACATTATTATACATTTGTATTCTGTTATCTGAACGAGCAACTCGCGTAAGTTAGATAATGGTTAAATGTAAATTAGGTACCTATTTGATCTAAGCAGAATCTTTGTCAAATCATAGTTTAGCATAGTTTTCTATGGTTCAAATATATTATTTTTGTCAAATTAACAATGGAATAAAATAGAGTTATATTACAGTAGATGACCCGCAAAAATTCGTCTCTCGCATCTCCAGAAGGAATAAATTTTCACCGTTTTTGCAACATTATTCATTATTGCTCGACGTCTATTGGTCGTATCGTATAGCCAAGAGCCATTCTCGCTTAATGGGCTATCGGAAACTAAAATAATTGTTTAGTTAGGACCAGTAGTTCCTGAGATTAGCGCGTTCAACAAAACAAACAAACTTTAAGTCATTAGGTCCGAGGGTGATGGTGATGTCGTGTCCGTGTGTGTTTAATTTCAATATACCACAGAGTGCCATGTTGACGTGACGTGTGGTTTTAGTCGGTCCGATTCCGACACACCACCCCGCCGCAAACCCTGCTGGGGCGACAGCACGAGAGGGTTTCCACACGTAAAAAAAAAATGGTAACCAGACTGCTGATAAACATTCTTATAAATTTTATATCTAAGAAATATATGCATAATATTACAGATAAATTACACCCAGACAGATCGACACACAATTTTTTTTCCTGGGTGGGAATGGAATCCATAACCTTGGCTTAGCAGTCAGAATCATTAACCATTAGATATGGACCGATGGGGGCTGTCCATCGGTTAACATAGCTCACTGGCTGGAGATTGTTGATGTGATCTTTGATGCATCCGTCAATACCGAATGTCCGTTTCCTGTATAATGTCTGATATTGGAAATACCGCGTTAGGCAGTTAATTGTTACCGATAAAGTCTCATAGTTGCGAATTACACAAGGTGTACCATTGTGTGTCTGTACTACTTATCTTCGAAAGCTAAGATAAAACAATACCTAAGTTTATTCCCCCGAACAACTATTTAATAGTTGTTAACTATTAATTACACGTTAATTATTTGTTTGATAAGAAATTATACACTCACCGATAAGAATTGCCGACATCCGAACAATGACTCGTGACGTAATTTTTGTCAACAGCTAATTAGCTGATAGGTGTTTTAGTAGATAATTCTTTTTTCAAATAAGTGTTACCCGACTAATAAATTATAATAATCTGTTTATTATCTGTTGCTTTCCCACCTTTAGAGAAAGAGTTTTTAGCCGACTTCAGAAAAAGGGGATGTTCTCGAATCGTCTGTTTCTTTTTAATAGGCGGTTGTAGATCGGCATTGGCATAAAATAGATTTTCGATAGGTATAATTTTATTTGTATAGGTTTAATTTTAATAATTAACTTTAACTAAACTAAACTAACTAAAAAATAGAAAATAAATTTAAATAAATTTGAAAAAAGCGTGGGGTGCTTTTTACTATTGACAACAGGCACCCAACGCTTTTTTCAAATTTATTTAAGTTTATTTTCTATTTTTTAGTTCGGTTTTCTTTGAAGTGTGTTTTTAAGTTTTTTTAAACTATTATTATTTGTAATCATAATTTGAACTTATTTGTAAATTACATAAAACTACACTTACCATAGAGTCAAAACTACCTCGGCTGATGGTTTTGTAGGTATTGGTGGGCGCTGCACCTTGGAGTAGGGGTGAAACCTCCATGTAACTCATGGCGGTGCAATAACTGTGATTCGTGGTTAAGCTCGGTGAGTAGTATCTGAGACTGAAAATAGAGAGCATTTTTAAATTAACTATTAATTTTAAGCCGAGGCCGTTATGCCTCGACTGGTCCGTCGACAGTCCGTGTGATGACGGATTAAGAATACAGAGTGTCACCGCCCCTATTCATCCCGTGGGTGTCGTAAGGGAAAAAACTACGCAGAACAGCAGCACAAAAACTTGACACAAACCCTGTACCAACCTCAGCGTGGTATATAGTAGGCCAAAACCTCCTTATTAAGGAGAGGCTTATGTCCAGCAGTGGACTATTAAAAGATGATGATGATGTTATGCTTCGACATGTGTCTACACACACAAGCGTGTAAACGGGGTGTTTGGCTCGGCACACGTATGCTCGTCGTCGATCGGTACTAGTGTCGGTTTTTAAACACAGATCAAAGGAAGTTCGCGACAAGCGTTTGCGACGTATTTAGACGTTGATCGTTCCCTACTGCTCAATTTGATATTACAAATATTGTAGTTGAGCAGTCGGGAATCAACATTAAGACTCAATGCTTTACTGATTGTGCAGTTTAGTTGAGCTAGAGTATATTATATATATATATAGAACAGTAGGGCTAGAGAATTTTTTTTTTAGTTTAGTGCCACGGTCGAGCGCGTTACGAAGCGCGCTCGCTTCCAGGGAGCAGAGGGAACATGGGGTTCCCACACGGGGGGGAGGGTCGTCTACTCGTCTGTAGATGGCCCGAGGTATGTCGGGGCACCAGGGACTTCCTTTCTAGGGTATACCTGGTTCCCCGGCTATTAGTACCCGAGACGGCGTGCGGTTTTAGTCGGTTCGTGTCCGACATGCCATCGATAGGTGGTATCCAAGGGGATTTCCGCACGAAAAAAAAAAAAAGAAAAGTTTAGTGCCGCCGTGTATATTTTGAATAAAAATGTGTCTACATCTGTAATGTTTGCCTGTCCGGAACACAATAACACACTCGCAAGCGTGTAAATGGCATCCAAGCGTTTGTAAAAACTTGCAGCTTATGGACGTTTGCCAAGCCTCGGCACACATGTAAACTAGGCATAAAACTTATTGCGATAAAGTCCATACATGTTTGAACATGACAAAAAATGTTCGCGCGGCCTGTTGCCATATCAATGCACTTTGTAGTTAGATAGTTTGAACGTTTATTTCAGTGTGTCTTCGGAACTTTCGGTCGGAACTCCCGGAGTGACACTGTTTTTTAAAACTATAATGTATTCAACGAGGTGAGGTTAATATGGTGGTATGGTTATTATTAATATTTTAATTTTTGAGGTTAAAAATTATGAAAAATGAAATCATAAATATATAAATATATAGTCACTATCAGGTGAGCCGACTGTTACTTTTAATATAAAAGTTTATTTTCTTTCTTCTTTTCTTTCCTACCTATAATTTGACAATCAAAATTTTTCTATTTATTATTATTATATATTATTATTTATTTTTATTAGTAACTTTCCCTAGCCTGATTATCTAGTGGTTAGTGGCCCTTACTGTTAAGCTAGAGGTAGTGGTTTCAATTCCCATCCAGAACAAATAGTTGTGTGATGAGCACTGTTATTTGTTCAGAGTCTGGATGTTATTTTTTCATAATATGTAGAGCAGTCTGGTTACCACAGCATAGGTTCTGCTTTATTATATTATTATTAGTTTGGGATGAGACGGTCGTGTGTAAGATGTGTGGAAAGGATATTATTAAGTACCTAGCCATTAATATAAACACTGAGCGAGTTTACGATATCTTTTGTAAATGATTTATTGTTTTCTCGGTAGAAAACATCTATTTTAAATAACAAGTGCCATATTAAGATAAGTTAACGAAAAAAAATGACCGTTACGAACATGTATGCCCATTCAATTGTAACTATTCTGAAGGAGAATTTGAGCGGTTTTCATGCGAGACTCAGTTTTTTCGCCCTCGAATTTTTGTGAAAATAACAGATCTACGTAAGATCTACGTAGGTCGGATATATTATTGTTATTTTCAAAAAAATAATACAGAATTGCAAGTTTTTTTTTATTTACAAGTGAATTTATATAATATTCTTGTGCGTATGATTGTGATGTTTTCCTGTCAGCACTTCAACGTAAATGGCTTACTGACAAAAGTGTAACAAAAAACTTAACAATTGAGTCTTTTTAAAATAAATACAGATTAATTTAGATATAACTGGCTGACCCGGAAAACGTTGTTTTGCCATATACATTATTTCAAGGAAATATTGAAAAAACAATTAGGGCTGGGTCTCCCTTGTCTTGAAAAATTGATGTTGGCCGATTCTCAGACCTACCCGATGTGCACACAAAATTTCATACAAATCAATAATAACTAAAAAAATATGATAACTAACATTGTGGCACGAGAATTTTATATGTAAGATTTACATTAAAAGTACGCAAATATGCAGACGGAAAAACGAATTTACTCGGATTTTTTTTGGCAGTATATCGTTTTTTTTAAATAAATTAAGTCAAATGGACGGACAGTTTTATAAAAACTGACGTGGGACTATTCTGTGATTTTGTAGATCAAGATTTAAACAACGTCTAAATCTAAATAATTAAACCACGTAGTACTTTTGTACCTCCAATTAAGTTACTAATGTTATAAATAATTGAAATGTAGTTAAATTGTTTGCCATAGTTAAAATATCTAGCTTTAAAATACTCTATGGTTTTAGTCATCAGTGAGGTGGCGGGCCGAAGAGGTTTTGCATGCACAAAAAAGGTTTGATCAATGTTTGCCGACTGTAAGTTCCAATTAGCTATTTTGTCTGTATAGTTTTCTATCCACAAAAATGAAAATACTCAGTTAACGAAGCTAAAATAGATTAATACTCGTATTATAAATATATAATTAACGAAAAGGATTGGCTTTGGTTTTATAGCCTGTTTCTTTTCTCATTTGCTTAATCTATTTTGTTGTGTTTTTAACATTAATTAGTTAACAAAAACAAATTCTATTACATCACTAACGAAATATTTTTTTGTTGTTTCAATAATATTATTCAATTTAAACCGCGTTTATAGGTAGTTACTGGCTGACTCCTAAGAATAGCGCTATTATGTATAGTCTATAAGCTACTATGATAATTGAGCTATTCAATATAATAATGGTTATAGAGAACTCGTGAACTTTTTTTTTATTTTTTAAATTAGCACAGATTAAAGAAACTTACTTGTGGTTTTTGTAGAGCCTCCTTCGCTCTTCACAGTACTCACAGTCAGTGAAGTCGGAACACCCACTCCCGAATATCCTAAGAACAATTTTTTTTATAAATATCTTTATCCTATTTTTTTTTTAAATAAAACATTAGGCTTAAAAAATACCTTCTCACTTTAATTGCCAAATGAATATTGTCTAGTTAAATTGAGTATTGTTATTATAATAAATAAAATTATTAATAGTAGTCAGTCTTAGTATTATTTAGTAAAATATAAAATACAATATTGTCTATTGAAATTTACTAGTCGAAATGTGTCAAATATATCCGCCCAGACCAATCACTTGTCACTAAGTGTCAGATATTATCAATTCGTATTATTAAAGTTTGCGGTTTTTATCTGTACGCATCTCAGGCAGAGTGAGGGCATAGAGATAATTTAAGAATAGAGCACGCATGGGTAGCCTCACCGTGTCTCACGGTACGAGAGAGATCGTTGCACGCAGAGGCCCTCTCTATCTCTTTCTTGATTCCCTATGTACATGCGTTGAGAGAGAGATGCCGTGGGACATCTCAAAGCATTGGGTTACGTGAGATTGGCGTGCTCTATTCTTTTATTATCTCTATGAGTGAGGGTGTCGTTTGTTCGTAAGTTATAAATAATTTAATCTAGACACATAAAATTAATTGCCACCACAGATGATTCATTAACGTAGAGCTTTAACCGCTGGGTCTATAAACTTGAAATTTTTGCAGATGGTCGTTTTGTTGTTGTAAGCTGTGTTAGCACTAACAAAAGATTTTACAAACAAATAGGGATGAATTATTGTATGATAGTTTGTCATTTTCTCTGTTCACTAGATGGGATGATGACATTAAAAAAATAGCTGGTCCACAATGGCAACAAATAGCCCAAGACCGAGAGAAATGGCAAGCTTTGGAGGAGGCCTTTACCTGAGGGGGGTTCCAGTGGAATTATACTTAATACTAGTGCCTACCTACTTAAAACTGATTTCTATATTCATAATAATTAGATATGTATATACTTGAAAAATTTAGACTACATAGATATAAATATCTTTATTTTCTTATTAACTATGTATAAAGGTAGATGCAATATTGCTTGTGCTAGTTTGCAAACTGGAAATAAAAGGCTTTTTTATTTTTCATTTTATTTTAGTTTGTCATTTTCTAAGTTATAAATAAGAAATGTTTATTAGGATATTTAACAGTTACACGTACCTAATTAAAAATTAGATTAAATAATGTATTGAGTGAACATGTAAATAAACACAACAATGTCCGCGAAATAATATTTAAATTCATTAAAAGTTTAAATCGTGCGTATTTTATTTTTTGAAACGAAGTTCCTTTACGCGCGTTACACGCTTTGAGCTCGATTAGATCGAAAAATGTGTAATCAGACTTTTTTCCGACACTTTTTGCTATAGCACACACGCACTTGCTTAGATCTTTTAAACTAAGCGACGGATTTTAATATGGTTTTCGCCAATAGAGAGAGTGGTTCAAGAGAAAGGTTTATATGTATAATACTTGCATACATAATATTGCAAACGCTGACTAAAGCTTACGAGATAGACCAAAATAATGTACAATGGAATTGTATTTCTTAAAAAGATATAGATAGTCCACGATGGTATTTATGTCTCTAATTATAAAGCGCAGTAACTATTTTTATCTTATTTTTAGCTCTTAGCTATTTATTCGATATTTTTTTTGAAAAAAAAGGTAGTATATACATTATAATAATATAGTACCAAATCAATTTTCCTTCAATTTCAGAATTATATCATTTATTATGGGGTATTGTATACTATACGACCTACAGGAACTACAACACTTTTCTGTATCATTATAATCAACTGCACGGATGGCGTAGTGGTTTAAGCGGTCGCCACGCTGCTTCCTACTACGCTGAGTATCTTCCGATGTGGGGTTTGAACCCACATGGGAAGACACTTTGTGTGATTCACAAATTGTTGTTATGAGTCTGAGTGTCCTTTGTGTCCGTTTCATGTATGTTTGTAAAGTCCCCCGCGACACAGGATATATTACTAATGCGGGAGTTGTCTTTTTAATAAAAAATAATAATATTTATGTGTTGTAAATTTATAAACAAGCGTATGATAGAAACATCTGACATTTTACTTCCAGTGCAACTTTATTTTACATCAACTCCATCGCCATCTGAGGGCTTAGTGGTAACAGTGTCCGAGTTTGGCGTTGCGATTGGCCAGCATTGAAATCTTCACCAATCGCAACACCCAACGTGTTCGCTGTCGAAAGCGAATCCATGTGAAATACAATTTCACTAGGTCTCATTTGATGGATTTAGCACCATCACTCAAATTGGACAGCGCGCTTGCCCGCTTTGCCGCGGCCGAAAGGACACATATTACACTTCAAAAATTACGTGAGTCCTTGACCTGGCAAATAAGTCCATACAATGATAGTCCAAGTTACTGGCCCAATAAATAAAACATAATGGATTTAGGTGGCACACAGCACGAGACAATCTCTGTTAATAACTTAAGACTTATTTAATAAAAATAAATTTGACCTCAATTAGTTTATTATCATTTAATTAAATTTAATTGTTAACTTTGTAACCCCGTAGTAGAAGGTGCTACTAAATTTAGTTGACAATATATAAATAATTGTTTTATTCGATATTCCTGACATTATTAATGAGTAATAATATTTGTATTTTAGCTTTCTGAGAAATTATTTCTCATTTTATTTTAGTTTGTTTTTAGGGTTCCGTATCTTAAAGGTAAAAAGGAACCCTTATAAAATCACTTTCTTGTCCGTCTGTCCGTGTGTCACCACCGATTTTCTCAGGAACGGGTAGACCTAGCAAGTTGAAATTTATACCAGATACTGAGTCCCTATTAGGTGGGGACCATATTAGGTGTATAAAAATCAAGGTCCTGAGTCAACACGATAAAAAGATATGGGCACATTTTGATTTTTGTAAGTACCAAAATTTACCTTAATTTTCAATTTTTTTAATTTTTCAGAATTTTCTCTTTACTTGTGCTGTAAGACCTTGCTTTTAACCAAAATTGACAATTCTATGTCAACCGGAAGTATCCTATAGCTTTTGAGTCGAAAACCTATATGGTCGTTCCCGTTGACCTAGAATAACGAAATTTGCCAAAAAGAAACGTCTCACAGCACAAATAAAGGAATAATTCCAAAAAGTAAAAAACAGTTGAAAATTAAGATAAATTTTGGTACTTACACGTTTTCCCGAAAATCTGGGTAGGTACGGAACCCTCGGCGCACGAGTTCGACTCGTACCTGACCGGTTGTTTAGGCTTCCGTACTTCGAAAGGAAAAAAGGCAATCCTTAAAGGATCACAAAGCTCGTAAAAAACCGTGACACTCGATTCCTGAATTATTTATAATGAGTTGGTACATACAAGGGCGAGTCTGACTCGGACTTGTTCGGATTTTTTATTTTTTGTAAAACAAGTCAATACAGCTGATGATTAGATAATACCAAAGATGAACGTCCCAAGTTTCTATAGAAACGTACCGTTTTGACCTGAAATAAGGAAAGCTTGTCAGCTACCGCATTATAATTTCAACATTTAGAAGCATAATATTGTTAATTGTAATTAAATTGTACAATTTTCGTTGTAATTGTTCCAATTTATATTCTTTTTTGGAAATATATAATACTTAGAAATATATAAATAATAAATTAATGATTCGAATTGTAACAGGTTGTAAGGTATACAATTATACATGATAGCTTAGATATTTTGAAAAAAAAATGTCTGATATTTAATGATAATTTTAAGAACACATGAACAATATCACGCTATGTTGCGGTAAAGGCTTTAACATAATAAATCCAAAATTGTAGTATTTAATCAAACTTTAGAGTAATTAATACAAAATTGTACTTTTTTGATGAAATTTTACAAAAATTATTCAAAATTGCACTTTTTTAATCAAACTTTAACATCATCATCATCGTCATCAACAGCCCTTAAACAGTCCACTGCTGGACATAGGCCTCTCCTTACAATGGTGGTTTTGGCCTAACAAAAACTTAACTTTAACATACTATACTCAAATTACAGTTTTTTAATATTTTTATAGTAAAGGAATTTTAATTGTTAGTTTAAAATTACTGACTTGTAGAATATCGTGGATCTCAAATTTTATTAGCTAGCTCCTTAGCTAGCTACTAGCTTAGCTAAGAACATAAGTTTTAATAGTTTATGGGTAAAATTATTAATTTGTACTTCATTGAGCTGTGATTTATGCATCATATATACAACTTGTGGCGTTTCACCAAACGGACAACCACTTGGAAAGGTATCTGATTATAACAGGAAGACGAGCCCGTTTGATTTATTGTCATTTATTCAAATGTTTTCTCTATCTTGCCGATTATTTAGCAAATGCAGCAACCACCATTATTTAGTATTTGTTACAAAATTGATGAAAGCAAAAGAAGGCTGTTGAACCAGAGAGGAAAAAAAACAGAGTAAACTTCCAAAGGATTTCTTTTTGTGGTTTATAACTTTAAAATGCATTTCTTAAACCTCATCCATGTTAAATGTTTTTTTTTATATGTTAGAGACCTGATAGAAAGTGACCATCGCCGCCCATGAACGTCTGCAACTCAGGAGTCACAAACGTGTTGCAGGCCTTTTAGGAGGAGTACGCTCTTTTCTTGAAGGTTTGAAGGTCGTATCTGTCCGGAAATACCGCAGACGATAACCCGTTTATGTCTTCTTCGCATTCTTTGTTTATGGGCGGAGGGGGCAAACGGACTATCTGATGGTAAATCACAACCGCCGACCATGGACACCTTGAACTCGAAAGAGTCACCAGTGCACTACCAACCTTTAGGTTATCCCCCCTGAGAACCAGATCTCCGGTAACCTTAATCAGTTGTTAAAAGCATCGAAGGATTTGCTCTCTTACGGTTAAAATTTGACGCTCCTGTTGGTCTAGTGGTTAGTGACCACTGCTAAGCCGGAGGTCGTTAGTTTGATTCCCACCCTGGACAAATAATTGTGTGATGAGCACGAACATTTGTTCTATGTCTG